TTCCCCAAAAAAAAAAAAAACCCCCCCCCCCCCCCCCGCCCCCCCCAAAAAAAAACACAAAAAAAAAGGGGGTAAAAAAAAAGCCCCCCTTTTTTTTTTTTGGGGGGGGGGGGGGGGGGGGGCAGGCTCACAATCGGGTCCAAATCGTTACTGTTTTAGTTCAAATTACAGCATCTGGCGCAGAGAATTGGTGTATTCACGTTCCTCTCCATATGGCGTCCTTTGTCAAAGCCTGACACGATGAAACAGAACTGCGTAGTTATCAACTGTGACAAGGTGTGACAAGAATAGTACATGTAGTCCTTTAGGAGTCTTAGTCCGTGTCCCATTACTTTGTACAGGTGACATTCGTCCCATATACTAATCCCAATACTCCGACTAACTCTGACCTGTGCTCATCATATGGGAGCCCGGACTTCCAATTCTTGGACTTTACGATTCCTGCCACACCGACTAACCCTAAACTGTAATAAAAAACGTATAGGTCCCCGGACCACCATTCCTATCATACCGGTGCGATGCAGGGCACAATCATCGTTTTTTTTATCTCTTGCTGTGAACGCCATTTCTCCTCTATCAACTTGAACAGTGCTACGCATTAATATCAACTGACCCTATAAAAAGGTGCACCCAGAGAGTCAGTATACAGGTAATAAAAAAATTAAGACACAACCTTGCCCTTTGAAAATGCCTTTTATATAAAAAAATTAAATTACAATATACAGGGGTAGGCCTACCTGTTTACAGTATTCTTAGCTGCTTTTATAAGAATATTAAATGTGCAAACAGCTGTAGATTGACGACATATCAACAGCGAGGACTGCGCACATCGATGTTCTGAAGTTCTCGGTAGCGAGGACGGTGAAAAGCGTCTCACAATGGAGGAGGTGGGTGAAGGCCTCGCTGTGAGGACGCCTTTTTTGAGACACGGCCAGAAATATAGCACTACCTGCGGCCTGGAGAGAGGCCATGTCAGGACACAAGATGGAGGACATATTATATCAAATTTAAATGAAATTAATACCTCTCTAAAAATGAGAGTTGCAAATCACAAATCACCAGGTATAATGATTTAGCTTCACGAAGGATAGAAAATAAAAAAGTCGCATTCACGAGTCACGGGAACGGGATGGTACACGGATCACGGCAAGTATTATGAACGTTTCACTCGTGAAATATGAAAGCGGCTTGCAGGGATAACAAAAAAAAAAAAAAAAATACCCGAAAGGAGCCTCAAAATCCAGACGTAATGTCCAGGAAAAGAGGTGAATTTTTTAATCCACTTTTCATTCAAACTTTATACATAAATTGCTCTAGCATCGGAGCCCTTCCATGACGTGGAACTAATGTATATTGAAAAATGATATGGAATTCACCATTTTGTAGACAGTATTCGGTCTTTAATAAGACAGCCATTCCACGAAAAGGGGTACAATTCCATAACAAGAAATGCAGAGATATGAACTTTGCAAAAGTGGAAAACTTTTTATATTATTTTGATGAAGAGGTATTTAGAGAGTAGTAGAAGAATTTTAACCCACACCATTACTGTATTTAAAGGAATATGCACGTGTAAACATGGTACAGTATTTTTTTCGTTACGGAGGTTAGGTAACACCTAGATTAGGTTATATTTCAATCACGCCAAAGGTCACAGGCTCCATATTTCATTCAATTATTAAGATTTTGTATGTATTCAAAATATTATTGCCCATTTAAGATTTCTCTTCAATTATAGAAAATGCGGTGCAAACACATTGGTAATAAGTGGCTCGTTTTCTATAAATAGGGTACAAAGGCTGAGATATTCTAATTTAAATATTTTATTAATCGTTGGGGACAGACTTGCTTTTTTATCATACTATTTGTTTATGAACAAAGTGCTATCAATCTATTATGATATGAGCATTGATCAATGAGCACACACATATCCAGTGTTCAAATGAAAAATGAGTAATTTAGTAACGGAGGTTAGGTCATTCTACATAGGTCAGCGATCATATATTTGTTTTGATATTTTTAGCTTAAGGTAGACTTTAGAAGATGAATTTGGAATTTATAGTATCACGGATACGACAAATTTACATAATAACATAGAAAAATGGATAAAACATGTTTATTCAAACCATTAAATGGCAAATGGTTACAACGCGTTGTTTTGCTTACTTTCAAGGACTACATAAATACATTTACCACTACTGGATACATTTCACCGCTAATATGTTGATCTATTTATCTGTAGAATTCACATTCCATATTTTACCAGAGTAAGAGTTTAATTCATCATCTTAGTAACAGAGGTAAGGTAAAACTCTAGTCCAAATTATGTCATACATTTCACGTTCAAAATTTCACAAGAAAAGCTTCGCGGTCATTAGATTTTTTTTCTCTGTAGTGTTTTTGTCGCTCTGTATTTGTAAGTGGTGTCTGTATAACAAAACATTAAACCTACATGCACATTATCCGGTTATAGGCAATAAAAAACAACAAAATACCCGAGAAAGTTAATGCATACAATCAAGTAGGCCGACAATGGACACGTGTTTGCCAATAACTGTCCATTTAAAGTTACTGGAAGCATCTAGAAGATGATAAAAACTATTATGTGCTACTGAAATAGTAAAATAGGACCTAATAATCCTGCAGTTCTACCTGATAAATGTAACTATTGCTTCAATGCTTAATATATTTCGCCATAGGGCCTATGTCTCCCGCGAAAATAATGTCTGCTACATGCACATTAGTACCGATGTCAGCTAGTACCATTTTTCTTGCCAAGACAGACCTGAAAACTACTCATTTCGCTTAAAATCAGAATGATAAGTTCAAAAAGGCAACGTCAAGGGACAAATGGAAATCAATTCGATAAAACAAATCACGATTTACCCTCGATTTTATAGCAAACTGGAGTAAAAACTTAAATCATTAGCCTTTCTTGATAGAATTATCAGCTATATATGTATATTTTATATCTATATTAATGCAGGGTAATGTCTTTAACAGCAAGCGGAATGAATGCATACTACATCAGAACATAGAAGTAGAAATACTTATATGATCAGAATTAACTCACAAAACCACAGAAATAACGTTTTAAAGTATTAACAGTCATTTTTATAACAATTAACTTATTTCGTAACAGAGGTTAGCATAACGGACGTAAGGTGACACGCATTCTTTTTCAGTTTTTATCCTCGGTATAACTTTGCATAACTATTGAATGAATTTTTTAAGAAGAAGTTGGTCCTTGCTTAACAAAAATGATATTTTTAACTTTCTAAAGCAACATTTTCTTCAAATTTGGTCCGTTACTGAGGTTAGGCTCTTAAATGCGACACCCCGACTTTTGTGAGTTAACATTCTCTATGATGGAACGCATCATTCAAAATTAACAAATAGCACTGTTTTATTAAACTTCATGTATTATGAGTTTGAAAAATGCACAGGAAGGCTATTTAAGAGCATTTTCTTTTGTTCTTACATTGACTTAAAAAAGCGTTATGGAGGTTAGGGGTTACTGAGCGACATTGATTATACTATGACAGTGACGTAACTAACCAACAAATTCGACAGAGAACACCATGTATGATAAAAAGAAACATGAGTTCAAATTACTTGAGGACTAAAAACACTAAAACACGGGAAAATATAAACTTTTTCTTGTGGCAAATCAGCTATAATACCGAAGCGACACGTCGAAATCGTGCTTTTTGCGGCATATAGACCCCCGGGGTTCCCGTCAAAGCAAGTGGTACTATATTAATTGTTGTTTTTTAAGTAGAACACATCGGGTCCTGCTAAAAAAGGCTAAAAAAAGCAAAATTGCAGATGCTTTTACTACAGAAAATAAGCTGCGACAGGTATTGTTCAGAATTGTACCCTTTTTCGTGGAATGGCTGACGATCTGCTCTAAGCTACTGCAGTGAGTGTATCCATGGTTACTGCAATATCGTATAGATGGCGCGGCGATACCTTCCATGCCCGTGTCATTAATTATCCAAGGGTTTGCACGGAGTGACGCCAAGTTATTGACCTGGTCACGGAATCACCCACTCTGTGGAAAGTTGACATATAATTTGTACAATTACGAAAATACAAATTAAATGATTATTTCATTCTCACAAGAGATACTGTAAAGCGGCTCATATTCAGGCCAAGCTTTTTTTTTTATTTAATCTTGTACTTAGGAGCATGGTGACCAATGGCATGGTATATTTAATCAAAATCCAGTATTAAAATTTTGGGAAATGTGACGCAATTTTGTGATTCAAATTAGAAAAAAAATATACGATGAATGCGATGCCAAATAGAATTGTGTTATTGTTTAAGTATAATTCGTGTAGGCATTTCCATATTGAATAAAAGTTGCACATTTAAATTCCAAACTCTCTGACGTAGATTCATTATGTGTCCCATCTCCGTCTCCATGTAAACGCTATAATAGGGTCTGATATGTCCCGGCATGTTTCCGGATAAAAGCCCTCTGCCTGTTTTTTTTTTTTTTTTTTTTTTTTTTTTTTTTTTTTTTTTTTTTTTTTTTATTAAGTTATATAAGAACGCCATGTATCCCAGAATCCTCCCAAACATTTTGTCGCGCACACAAAAGGCTTCCAGGCACAGAGACCTGGGTCCCGTACCTCGAAAGGTCACGTGTACCAGGAGTGCCAAGGTCACGTGAACCACTTCAACAGGGTGTCAATGTACAACAATGATGGCTGTGTGCCTGGATTTTTATTTACCTTCAAGTTTAAGTCACGCTTTGAACGCGGTGACACATAAAGGTGCTGTCACACTATAGTGAATAGTACCACCGTATGAGAAAAGTGGCCCATATGCACACAAACGCAAGATATTCTCTAGACTTAACGTCGTATAGGTTTGGCGTACGCAGGTAAACGTCGGTGCACGTTCGCAGACCCGGAGGGGGATACAACATTTTTGCATTTTAAAGAACGATTTCATACTCTTCTTATATCAACATGTTTATATCAACATATGTTATTATGTCAAAATGCTGGAATCAGAATGATTTTATACCTTGCTTTTCACAGTCAACGTTCATTGTATATACACGAGCTTGCGTCGTGAGCACGCCTTTTATACACCAGGCGTGGGGGTGACGCACGTGCGACGCATTCCCGGTGTGCTCTCGACTTTGTTCGTTAGTTGTGAGGGCGTGCGCCTTACTCAACACGCAAAGAGCACTTGCTCCTTCATTGCTTGCGACGTGCGTCTTGCACAACGCGCGTCTGTCTTGCTAACTCCGTGCGAGGGGAGCAAGTTACGCTTGCGGCCTCGCTGTTCGCAGGCTATTCGTAGAATCTTTTGGACTTGTCCAACATCCTCCGTACGTGCTTACGGGCTGTCTGCGAACTCGAACTTGCGTAAGAAGGACTTGCGTGGGACGTGAGATTCTGCGCAAAATTTGGACGTAAACAGCCCGTAAGAGCCCGTACGGCCGGTTGTGACCGAGGCTATACGTTCATAGTTGTGCGCATAACCGGGGTCACATACTATGCTCATACCTACCGCTTTTCCCTAATGGCATGTCTTTCAGTGTAATAAAATAAGTTTTAAATTGAAATAAAGTCGGGTTGAATTTTTTACTGCCGGGTGGGAATTTAAAAGCAGTAGTCATTGGAGCCCTTGAATATACAGATAGCGGACCCTATGTCCACGCAAACCTAATGTGACTGTTGATTAATTAACACGCGCGTCTCTCTTACGATGTCAGTGCTTATAGCCTACGCGAAATGCACCGTTCTTGATTGACCCTAGAGTTGAAAGAGTAATGAAGTCACCGGCACAGACACGCGAGGCAATGAACCTTTAATGAGATTACATTACTTATCAATACATTGAAACATCTCTTGACAAATAGCATTGTCAATAAAAAAAGACCCCAGAAAGCATGCATTACAGTGACGTTTTACCTAAGTATCTGACTAAACGAGTCTGCTTTTTGTGCTACACATTTCAATGTGTCTATTCATGAACTTGTAGCTTTTGAAACGGTGACGGACAAAAATATTATTATTATTATTATTATAAATGATAAAAATTGCAATACTTTCTGTTACTCTACTGTGTTTCATGTCATTTGCGTATTATTATTGCACCCGTGGCTGACTTTTAATCCATTGGTAGGAAGTTTGCAGAAAATTCGAATCCAATCCCCCACAGCCTTGTTTTATAACTACAAACACGTGAATGTCTGTTCGAGTAGATCACGTGTACGTTTGCTGTCTTATATTTTTAAATGGTTTGGTTTTGGTCCGTGTGTCTCATGATATTAACGTTTGAAGCGGGGGGTGAGAGAAGAAGCAAGGGGAGTTGTGAGAGATGAAATGAGGGGAGTTGTGAGAGAAGAAGTAAGGGGAGTTGTGAGAGAAGAAGTAAGGGGAGAAGGGAGAGGAAAAGTGAACGTTTCCTCTGCCCCCGTTGTTGGGAGAGCCATGGCCTTGGAGGTGATCCAAACAGCCGTGTATTGGCAGGCCTCAGTGGCCATGACTATAAAACACCATGACAGGACAACAGCGTTGGCGACCCAAGTAATTTGCACGGATTTTCATAAATTAATCAGATAATTACAGCAGCAATAAATACCGTCAAGCTTAATCAAAGACTGCGCAGAAAGACGTGCCGCGTCACACACCACCTCCCCTGCAGGGCGGAGATCAACACCTCGGGATGACGTTATCCTGACCCCCCCCCCTCCCTCCGGGCCGACATGTAGTGTGTATTCTGCTGTAGGGTCCTCTCAAATGTGGCGTCGGGTTAGCTCGGAGGCTACAGATGAGAAGACTTTTGTGAACAGAAATGATGCCAGCTCATGATATCCAACTATTTCGTCATAATCAAACATCGTCATCAGAGAGGATTTGATGTCCAAGATTATGACAGAGAGGTGATAGATGTGGCCTATACGAAAAATCGTTCTGTGTGCGGCGGGCATTAACATCGGTCCCAATATTTCAAACCCTCTCTCTCTTCAAACTTCTCCAGNGGATCTCCGGTAAAATGTTTTCGGGGAACACTTCGTCCGAAAACAACCCGCTTTCAGGATCTAAATTCTTCAGATAGAAGGCGTCAATGATGCTTGGGTCACTGTATCCGCACAGGTCTATTATCAAGTGGTCCTCCTCTTCATAAGCGTTGATATGATGGAAGACGAAGAAGGGGTCCGCAGTGAACAGTTTTGCTACCTCCTCATTGGTCTTTCGATTGACCAATCGGAACCGTGCTTTGATGTTTGGATACCATTCCATTGCCTCTTGGTAGCTCTTTCTGGTCACCTTCCTTGCCATCAATTTCAGCACGTTCATGCCCAAAGGCTGCTCGACGAGCGCGTAGTAGTTATCCGACATTGCAAAGCTGTGGAAATATGTTGGGAACGCTTTGAACTGGCCGAAAATCTTGGCAAGAATTTCTGGTTGGGGTTTATCTTCAGCTGGTTTGGGGCCTTCGTTGTTGGTAATCACGTCTAAACGTGATGGAATCTTGGACAAGTAGTAGATTGGCCTCCCGCCATACAACGTGCCAAAGTTGTAGAAATTTCCCTCGGCGTCTATGTGCGGGTGTGCAGGAGTGGCCACCCTGATAAGTCGCGACATGTCAATCCTCTTCTCCGTTGTTGTCAAAGTCTTAGGGTCCAACTTGGTCCAGTACTTAGTTTCAGTAATGGCGAGCAAGGCGTTCTCGCAGGGAAGAAGGTTGACAGATGGGTTATCAGTTATTCTGTCGTCGGAGAAGTAGGCAAAATACCTGGAGAATATGTTCTTACAGGGATCCGGGAAGCAAGCAGTACCAAATTCTGAGTAGACGATACAGTTGGCCGACATGGCTTTGGTATAGGCTTCACTCTCAATATATCTGAAATATGAACAACGCATAAATATATATGAACTGCAGTACCTTAATATGGGCGTCACTCCTGTTATACGCATCCATCGATCTATCTATCTATCTATCTATCTATCTTTCTATATGTATAGATAGATAGATAGATAGATGGACACAAAAGTTGTTCTGTCTCCACGTGTCCTTCACCTTGCTCGCACACATTACAACTGGTACCAACCGTGTACTACTGTATTACGGCTTCAATATCATAAATAAATAACTACAGTTTTGCGTTGAACAAATAAACGAAAAAGAACAATTAATTTCCAGAAAACAATCTGCAGCCCACTCTCTACATTGCCCTTGTTAATAGCCATTCTGTCATTCTATCTTTATAGTAACAGACAGAAATACTGTACGTTATGGATGCATAGTTGTGATAAAGTTTCACGAAGTTAAAGAGAAAAGAAGCCATGCGTTTGACCTTAATTCAACATATCTAAACAAACATTATTTTCCTTTCGATCTGTTTCTCTGAAGTCCAGTGTAAAATATTTGCCTGGTTATGCTAATCTTTGTTACAGTACATGTTTGAACTGCACCATGGCCGTTTTCTTTTCCAGACAAAAAATCTTTAAAAACTGAAAAACGTTATAGAAAACAGTTCACCATGACTTACTTGCTGTGAAATAGTACGGTGCCCTGTTCTATGGTGAAGCTATAGACCATTGCCAGACCATCAAAGAAATGGCGCATCCTGTAATTCCCCACTTCAAACTTGGCTGGAGCAACACGATGTAGAGATCCGCTGAGATCCGCAGGGATTGTACCTGAAACGAAGCTTTGTCAGTTTTCAAACAACCAAGGTACCAAGGTAGATTTACGTCGAGATCAGTGCTCTTATTTGTTCGTAATAATCTATTTAATTAAAGAGAGAGAGAGAGAGAGAGGGGAGGGGAGGAGAGAGAAAGAGAAAGAGAGAGAGAGAGAGGCTCGTATTTTTACCCTTAATAACGGTCTTTACTGGCGGTGTTGCCTTGCAGTTCATCTTAATAAGGGGGTCATCCTTGTCGGCCATATTGGTCAGTTTTAGTCTACGTCACGTCGACCGGTAGTCAAAGCAATGAAGGCGTCCTCTTTCAGATCCTGAATAAGTTTTGGAATTTTGTATAAAACTTTAAAAAAAAAGCTTCACAACTATCAAAATTAATGACATAGTTGAGAATACATGTAGTACTAAAATTGTTAATTGTACATCATAATGAGAAACGGACTACTATTCCTGCACATTATGTTCTTTTAAACAAAAGCTTTTTTATTTATTTATTTATTTATTTATTTACAGGTATCCTTTTTATTTGCATTCGACATACAGGTAGTATATAATACTACTCCAACTGTCAATTGTACATAGGAATTGGACGTTAAATACGTTTTTAGACAAAAAAAAAAATTGTTAATTTATTATTTTATTCATCTTTTTTATTTACATTTGCAGTATTGTTCTTCTTGCATACATACAGGTATGTGACCTACATTGCACTTACGCAAAGTCATCAAAACTCCCCCCCCCCCCGGCACCCCTATAGCAATCACGAGAAAAAAAGGGCGTATACAATATAAGCCGCCATTTTTTTTTTGGGGGGGGGGGGGCAGGCTCACAATCGGGTCCAAATCGTTACTGTTTTAGTTCAAATTACAGCATCTGGCGCAGAGAAATGGTGTATTCACGTTCCTCTCCATATGGCGTCCTTTGTCAAAGCCTGACACGATGGAACAGAACTGCGTAGTTATCAACTGTGACAAGGTGTGACAAGAATAGTGCATGTAGTCCTTTAGGAGTCTTAGTCCGTGTCCCATTACTTTGTACAGGTGACATTCGTCCCATATACTAATCCCAATACTCCGACTAACTCTAACCTGTACTCATTATATGGGAGCCCAGACTTCCAATTCTTGGACTATACGATTCCTGCCACACCGACTAACCCTAAACTGTAATAAAAACGTATAGGTCCCCGGACCACCATTCCTGTCATACCGCTGCGATGCAGGGCACAATTATCGTTTTTTTAATCTCTTGCTGTGAACGCCATTTCTCCTCTATCAACTTGAACAGTGTTACGCATTAATATCAACTGACCCTATAAAAAGGTGCGCCCCAGAGAGTCAGTATACAGGTAATAAAAAAAATTAAGACACAACCTTACCCTTTGAAAATGCCTTTTATATAAAAAAATTAAATTACAATATGCAGGGGTAGGCCTACCTGTTTACAGTATTCTTAGCTGCCTTTATAAGAATATTAAATGTGCAAACAGCTGTAGACTGACGACATATCAACAGCGAGGACTGCGCACATCGACGTTCTGAAGTTCTCGTTAGCGAGGACGGTGAAAAGCGTCTCACAATGGAGGAGGTGGGTGAACGCCTCGCTGTGAGGACGCCTTTTTTGAGACACGGCCAGAGATATAGCACTACCTGCAGCCTGGAGAGAGGCCATGTCAGGACACAAGATGGAGGACATATTATATCAAATTTAAATGAAATTAATACCTCTCTAAAAATGAGAGTTGCAAATCACAAATCACCAGGTATAATGATTTAGCTTCACGAAGGATAGAAAATAAAAAAAAGTCGCATTCACGAGTCACGGGAACGGGATGGTACACGGATCACGGCAAGTATTATGAACGTTTCACTCGTGAAATATGAAAGCGGCTTGCGCGGATAACACAAAAAAAAAAAAAAATACCCGAAAATCCAGACGTAATCTCCAGGCAAAGAGGTGAATTTTTTAATCCACTTTTCATTCAAAGTTTATACATAAATTGCTCTAGCATCGGAGCCCTTCCATGACGTGAAACAAATGTACATGTTTATTGAAAAATGATATGGAACTCACCATTTTGTAGACAGTATTCGGTCTCTATTAATTAAGATCTTCTCTCAGCTACTGCAGTGAGTGTATCCGTGGTTACCACAATATCGTATAGGTGGCGCGGCGATACCTTCCATGCCCGTGTCATTAATAATCCAAGGGTTTGCACGGAGTGACGCCGAGTTATTGACTTGGTCATGGTATCACCCACTCTGTGAAAAGTTGACATATAATTGGTACAATTACGAAAATACAAATTAAATCATTATTTCATTCTCACAAGAGATACTGTAAAGCATCTCATATTCAGGCCAGGATTTTTGAAGAACATTAAGGAGTGTAGGGGGGGGGGGGTGGAGGGCGTCAATACTTGTTCGCCAGTTGTAAGTTCTTTAAGTAAGCCCTTGTTAGAGCAGTGTATTTTTACTTTGTACTTTAGGAACATGGTTCAAATAAACTGTGACCAATGGCATGGTATATTTAATCAAAATTCAGTATTAAAATATTTGGGAAATGTGAAGCAATTTTGTGTTTCAAATTAGAAAAAAAATATATACGATGAATGCGATGGATTCAGCCAAATAGAATTGTGTTATTGTTTAAGTATTATTCGTGTTAGCATTTCCATGTTGAATGAAAGTTGCACATTTAAATTCCAAACTCTTTCGTAGATGGGTATTTGATTCACTTGCCTCAGTCTCGAAGAAGTGTGTGACCGCCGACTATAAACTAAGCCCAAGAAAATAGACAAATATTTCCTTTACTACAACCAAACACGATTGTTTTATTGTTTTAGTACAATTCGTGTATACATTTCCAAATGAAGAGAAAGCTGCATATTTAACTTCCAAACTCTCTGGAGTAGATTCATTATGTGTCCCGTCTCTGTCTCCATGTAAACGCTATAATAGGGTCTGATATGTCCCGGCATGTTTCCGGATAAAAGCCCTCTGCCTGTTTTTGTTTTTTTGTTTTTTTTTTTTCTTTTTTAAGTTATATAAGAACGCCATGTATCCCAGAATCCTCCCAAATATTTTGTCGCGCACACAAAAGGCTTCCAGGCACAGAGACCTGGGTCCCGTACCTCGAAAGGTCACGTGTACCAGGAGTGCCAAGGTCACGTGAACCACTTCAACAGGGTGTCAATGTACAACAATGATGGCTGTGTGCCTGGATTTTTATTTACCTTCAAGTTTAAGTCACGCTTTGAACGCGGTGACACATAAAGGTGCTGTCACACTATAGTGTATAGTACCACCGTATGAGAAAAGTGGCCCATATGCACACAAACGCAAGATATTCTCTAGACTTAACGTCGCATACGTTTGGCGTACGCAGGTAAACGTCGGTGCACGTTCGCAGACCCGGAGGGGGATACAAAATGTTTGCATGTTAAAGAACGATTTCATGCCCTTCTTATATCAACATGTTTATATCAATATATGTAATTATGTCAAAATGCTGGAATCAGGATGATTTTATACCTTGCGTTTCACAGTCGACGTTCATTGTAAATACACGAGCTTGTGTCGTGAGCACGCCTTTTATACACCAGGCGTGGGGGTGACGCACGTGCGACGCATTCCCGGTGTGCTCTCGACTTTGTTCGTTAGTTGTGAGGGCGTGCGCCTTACTCAACACGCAAAGGGCACTTGCTCCTTCATTGCTTGCGACGTGCGTCTTGCACAACGCGCGTCTGTCTTGCTAACTCCGTGCGAGGGGAGCAAGTTACGCTTGCGGCCTCGCTGTTCGCAGGCTATTCGTAGAATCTTTTGGACTTGTCCAACATCCTCCGTACGTGCTTACGGGCTCGAACTTGCGTAAGAAGGACTTGCGTGGGACGTGAGATTCTGCGAGACAAAAAGACAAAAATATTATTATTTATTATTATTATTATTATTATTCATTATCATTATTATTATTATTATTATTAATGATAAAAATTGCACTGCTTTCTGTCTGCGAACTCGAACTTACGTAAGAAGGACTTGCGTGGGACGTGAGATTCTGCGCAAAATTTGGACGTAAACAGCCCGTAAGAGCCCGTACGGCCGGTTGTGACCTAGGCTATACTTTATAGTTGTGCGCATAACCGGGATCACATACGATGCTCATACCTACCGCTTTTCCCGAATATCATATCTTGCTGTGTAATAAAATAAGTTTTAAATTGAAATAAAGTCGGGTTGAATTAAATTAACCTTTTTTTACTGCCGGATGGGAATTTAAAAGCAGTAGTCATTGGAGCCCTTGAATATACAGATAGCGGACCCTATGTCCACGCAAACCTAATGTGACTGTTGATTAATTAACACGCGCGTCTCTCTTACGATGTCAGTGCTTATAGCCTACGCGAAATGTACCATTCTTGATTGACCCTAGAGTTGAAAGAGTAATGAAGTCACCAGCACAGACACGCGAGGCAATGAACCTTTAATGAGATTACATTACTTATCAATACATTGAAACATCTCTTAACAAATAGCATTGTCAATAAAAAAGACCCCAGAAAGCATGCATTACAGTGACATTTTACCTAAGTATCTGACTAAACGAGTCTGCTTTTTGTGCTACACATTTCAATGTGTCTATTCATGAACTTGTAGCTTTTGAAACAGTGACGGACAAAAATATTATTATTATTATTATTATTATTATTATTATTATTATTATTATTATTAATGATAAAAATTGCACTGCTTTCTGTTACTCTATTGTGTTTCATGTCATTTGCGTATTATTATTTCACCCGTGGCTGACTTTTAATCCATTGGTAGGAAGTTTGCAGAAAATTCGAATCCAATCCCCTACAGCCTTGTTTTATAACTACAAACACGTGAATGTCTGTTCGACTGGATCACGTGTACCTTTGCAGTCTAATATTTTTAAATGGTTTGGTTTTTATTCCGTGTGTCTCATGATATTAACGTTTGAAGCGGGATGTGAGAGAAGAAGCGAGGGTAGTTGTGAGAGAAGTAAGGAGAGAAGGGAGAGAAAAAGTGAACTGTGAATCGCAGGCGTTGCCTCTGCACCCATTGCTGGGAGAGCCTGGCTTTGGAGGTGATCCAAACAGCCGTGTATTGGAAGGCCTCAGTGGCCATGACTATAAAACACCATGACAGGACGACAGCGTTGGCGACCCAAGTAATTTGCACGGATTTTCATAAATTAATCAGATAATTATAGCAGCAATCAATACCGTCAAGCTTAATCAAAGACTGTGCAGAAAGACGTGCCACGTCACACACCACCTCCCCTGCAGGGCGGAGATCAACACCTCGGGATGACGTTATCCTGATCCCCCCCCCTCGCCCCCCCCCCCCCTCCGGGCCGACATGTAGTGTGTATTCTGCCTTAGGGTCCTCTCAAATGTGGCGTCGGGGTAGCTCGGAGGCTTCAGATGAGTAGGCTTTTGTGAACAGAATTGATGACAGATCATACACTGTAAAAACAGTGTTTAGCATTTTAATACATACAACACACGTTAGGCACCTATACGCATTTAGAAATCTGTGTAAATGCTAAACACGTATAGCTTTTCAAGCGTTTCACAGAAGAAAAAGCGAGACAAGTTGGCAGTGTTACACGTTTAGGTATGTGTATAGCTTCACCGGCATATGCTTCTATAACAAGTCTATCACAAGCTAAGCACATTGGCTAAGCACTTCCCCTGCTAAGCGCATGAGGCTGCTAAACATATGGAGCTGCTATAGGTGTGGAATTCCTTAACGCGTGGAGCTGCTGAACAGCACGTTTAGCTTTTCAAGCTTGTCACAGAAAGAAAATGCTTCACAATCCCATGTATACGATCCCATAACAAGTTTATTACAAGACTCAACAATTTGGCTTAACACTTCCCCTTGTAAACGTATGGAGCTGTTGGAGGCGTGAAGCAGCCTGCTCGAACGCGTTGTGTCCTTCCTTGCAGTAACGTGTGATTATTTAAAATATAGGCCTATTAAGTAATAATCCAAATAACAAATAACGTTTTCACGACGTTATCAGCTGGTTACATGATGGTGATGGTATAGAATAACGTTATAGTAACGTTATGGGTGTTTTTAACTCCATGCAAATGATGCCCCTGCAGTTTTATAAGCGTTTTATAACATTCTGGAAAAACATTATTTAAAGTTTTGAACAACTTTTTAAATAAATAACCAAAACACGTCTTATGCTGTATGAACTACAGTTAGCGGTTAATTCCAAAATGGGCTTGGGGTTAGGCGGCGACTAGAGCGGTGCGATTTGTTAAATATTCGGACTATCGTTACCAAAATAACCAGCATGCAATGAAAGATTAAATAAACCATTATAAGAATACCCCACCATCATTCTGATGTTCTATTGTTCATTACTTCCGGAAAAAATAAATGAACATCAATACCGTAACATTTTTGTTTTTCTCGGACTTTATTGTTTTTCTCGGACTTTGGTCTACTTTCCCTCCCTCGCTCACTCGAGGGGTTTTTCTTTGACATAAACGTGAATGGGGCCAACTCAATAGATTATCATGCATGTTAATTAGGCTTGAGATTAACCCGAAAGTCCGTTTTTATATATATTTTATATTTTTATTGTCAATATTTTATGATGTATTTAAGCTATAAATATCTATGAAGTCTGTTCTTATTAATTTATTTTGAATAAAGTAAAGCCACTCAAGAGGCGTTTGATTTTTCCCAGTAAATATCCTCATGAGTTCTAGATACGACATGACAGAATAAAAGCATCTTTACTTCATAAAAGTGAAAAGTACAACAACATGTTACACCTGCACGTAGTAATACTAACATCTCAACCTTTATCTTTGTGGATAATGTCATTTACAACATGACAATGGTTTTCAGTCTATACACACGGTACACCTCAACACGCCATAAGAAATCATTTAACAGGCATTGTGGACGCAAAGGCAGGAAACTGGAAACCGGAACGAAGAGACTTAAGGGATATTAAGAAAGCCATAGGATTCCTTAATGTTTACCGCACCATACAGACTACACCTAAACACGCGAGAGAGGGCGACTTTTTCCACTATCGCTTTCAGGCTTACAAATGTACCCATCAAGAAAATTTGTATGCGACAAATAGTCGAACAAACCACTTTGGCATGTAAACAACAAGAGACGAACAATAACGTTTACATGCAAAGATTGATTCAGTTCAGTCACCAAATCTACAGCGCAAATATACATGTACTTGTGGTTTTTTTTAACGAGTTGAGAGGGATTAAATGTGAACGCGCAGACGGCAACGTCCATTGCTGTTGAACTGACTGAAAAAAGGTAAATCTATTTTAAACAACAATCTAAGGTAACATGATATCGTTGATATATATAACGATCGACAAAACAAAACTCTAAAGTGATTTTTTTAAAAAAGTTCACTTATAAGTAGGAAGCAATAGGGACCGTTCCCAGACCCTGTCGTACTAACTGTGGGTCGATCTAGCTCCGAGGGGATTCTCCCTTAATTACAATTAACTTCAGCGGCTTAGATTTTTGTCAAGCATACTAACGCTGTTAAGGGGTAAATAATTATTCAGTAGGCGTGCCAGACATCTAAGCCGCTTAAGCTGAAAGCAATTTAGCGAGAAACCCCTTAGAGATGGATCGATCCTGTTAGATCAATCCACGTATGGGAACCCATTTACAGAGTAGCTTCATGGTACAGATGCCAGGTCCTGTCACCTGTACCTGAAGTGTTTTTCATCTTTTCTGGAAATTCATTAACAAAACCGCCTACTCCTCACAAACAGGATGCACTGGATTGCACAAATGCAGAGGTATCGCATTTCAAACACACGAGGTTAATTCAGGTTAACTTTGCTTTTTATGATAAAATGCCTTACATCTAATTACGGCACCCGCTCATGCGAATAAATAAATAAATTGGTTAATAAATTAATTAATTCATTTGTGGGGACGCGAAAACATCTTGATGAAACCTCCGACTCTTGATGGCGGTCTTCATAATCTCTACCAACACCCGTAGTTGACTTCACAGCTGTGGTATTATTTAACTACAGGACATGATCAGTAAAATGCGACATATCAGGTTAGTATTAGACACAACCAAGATATGCCACACTTCTTCAGTTTATACTTCGATGGTTTTCCAAGGACAAACCGTTTAAATATTTCAGGCAAGTTATGTGATCAGAATGCCTTTCAATATAACACTTCATTTATTTCAAAAGAAAAACATATCATTCAAAGACTGCGTAGCTATTTGCTCTCTGAACAGCGGAGCTGGAGTAGCATATAACATGAAATATTTGGTTGCTGCGGGTTGCACCACACGTGTATAACTACAGTTTGGGAAGACGTTTATAGAGAAAGTATTGACATAAATTCACTTCACATTAATAGGAAATCACATGTCCACAATCTCAGCACTTTAATCAATTCCATTCCATGGAATATCTATTGATTTGCACGTTGGCGCTGACATCAGCGGATGTGTCTTCGAAATTAAGCGTATTTTGACAGCGAAGTATTATAAATCTTAATTAGGACAGCTTCCTTTTATTAGGAAACTTAATTTAATTAGAACCTAAGTTATCGACCAAAAGAGCAAAATTACATCTCGCTGTAAAAGTGTGTTGTACTTGAAGCCGTACAAAGAAGGCGCCAAAATAGGAGGAGTAAAGAGACAAAAGGTTTTCATCCGAGATAAGATCACAGCCAACTGCCAAGGAAGCCAAAATCAGAAAATAATTAACACCGAATTAACAAAGAAGAGATGATAAGCTGTATAGAAACGTGTTTGTAAGATATACAAACCGAAAATCCGCTTTGTTTTTCTTACTTAGTACTATTGTGAAGAATGGTGAACAACATAAGTCAGCTGAAATAACAGATTTTTCTTCTTGCTAATGTTTCTTTGATAAATCTCTTTACGATGTTAATGTTACAACAATTGATGAAGCTTACAGTAAATTTCCTATAATTGTGTCTTTAAAATATTGAACAACACCCGTCTCATCAAACGCCAGCGCGTGGAACATCCCCCCACTGTCACAACAAGTGACTTGTCACGGTTACCATGGTGTCGTGGTCAGCTGACCTAAAGATGTCAACACCGATGATGATATTAATGACGCCCCTTCACGTCGTTCTAAATAAATTATGTAATTCAAAGGTATTATTAATTTACACCGAAGCCTAGTGTGGGAGGTTCAGCACTGCTTCACTGCTTAAATAGATCGCTGGTTAGTAAACTTTCTCCAAGATAAAAACGACGATTTAAAGCGGGCTAGTTTGCAGCGCTTCGTAGTTTTAATTCGAATGGCAAACATCTCTTGGTCCGGAAAAAGAGGAAACATTCACTGTGAAAGAAATTGAAAACATTCGCTGAAGAAGAAAAGTACATCCAAGTAGAGGGGTTAGAAAGGACATTACATTAACGCGTTTTGCATTGACCACAGCTGCCATAGACGGTTGCTCCAGTTCATGTCAACCCCTCATTACAGTAACAAAAAAATTAGAAAAGAAAAAGAAAAGCGTAGCGCAAAATAATAATTAAAAAAAGGTTATCAACGACTTTGAGAGGATTCTAGAATTACCAGTAACTGAAGAATTGTCCAATAACAAATATGTGGTATCACAACGCAAACAAGCACCTTATAGTGTTCCATTTGATTTTGAACTGTGGGAAACTAACACATGGGGCTACGGCATCATTAGACCAACCTAGGTACGAGACGGACCAAGCAAGTCCTGCAAGACAAGGCAGCTCAGTGTGGAGCACGCCGCTAAGGCCTCAAGTGTGGCCTGGGTTTGTTCACCGAGCAGATACACTGGATAGAAATAGCCGTCAAACCTATCTACCACAAGGCTATGCACTGGCAGTCAGCGGAAGGTACGACCAGAGGTCTCCTCGCACATATAAAGCGGAGAACGAAGCAATAAAATACATGTCCTTTGATAAGGTACGTTAAGAATTTAAAAATATTTTTCATATGATGAAAGTTGTTGTGTTATCCGGATATTTTACGTTTGACGGTGGTTAAGTAAGTTAAGTAATGTTTAGATTGCAAACAGTGTATGGTTCCTTACAAATCTCATAATCATGTTTATGAAATGACAATGGTGTGTAGAAGACCAGCGTTTTTATCGTTAACTGCCCAAGAATTTGTAGACAGCGTCCTGAATCCTGAATCCTGAATCTCTGAGCACTCATTAGAACTGTTCTGTCTAATTTGAAACAAAAAAAAAAGACCACCCAAACCCAATATATATACATGTTAAAGTGTCAAAAGATAAAATTGAATGATTTCAAAGTTGTGTTCACTTTTAAAAAATATATATATGTGTGTGTGTATAAAACAAAGTCCCCAACAGATTCAATTTAAATTTAATTCTCATTTTTACCATGTCTTTACATTCTAAATTGTAACGTATGTTCCTGTTAACGTAGGTTCCAGGTCGCTTATTTTTAATTCATATATTGCGTTCTGATATATTTTGTGGCTATTCAGCCATGGTAAATAATACATGACTTAAGGATGTTTTTATAAATATTTTAACTGTAACTTGAGGGGCTTTACGTCATGGCTAATACTATGTTACGTATGTTCCCCAGAGAATTTTTTTTCTGTTACTTACTGAAAATTTATATTGTGATTACATGACAGTTTGACATTCCTCATACATTATTTGGATGACGAATGGAAAATAGTTAATTGAATGCTTATTTTATGTCAGAAAGGTGTATTTCTCCCTTTTTTTAATATTCTGTGACAAGCAAACTAACATTTAAGTGCTCTCTACAGTAGATTTTCACAAGTTTTGAAACGTTGTAGGAGTTAAATCAAAGAACATTACCACTGATGATTGAATTTTAAAAGTGAGTAAAACGTTTCTACAGCTGGACATTTTGCATTTGCGTCAGTAATGTATGTTCCTTTTTGGAGTTAGACGCTCGATATATTATTTTTTATTATTCATGGTTTTAGGAGAGTGAAACTTTGATAGAAACTTCTTCTTAGTTCGCAATTCTTCATAATTTGCAATCTGTGCACTACATATTTTAAGAGCATGTCTGTGAACTTATTTGTACCTCTATATTGGGTTTGGGGGAGAAAGCCTTCGTGAAGTACGCGCCAATTTCAGGAAACTCAAGAAATTATGTATCGGAATAATAAAATGGACCTCTAATCAATTAAGCTGTATCTTGGTTTCATTCAACCGCCTGCATCTAATAATTTCCTTAGTATACAATATATAGATGAAGGTAGAAAGGAAACGGGAGAGGAAACTGGGGAGACATTAATCGGGCACATATACAACGCATTGTATATATATCCACATACAGAATAAGTGCGTATCCCAATCAATGCCAAAATTAAGAGAAATATTGGAACTGTCCAGATAGCTGAGAAAATGTTAAGTGTAGTCTTCAAGAGCCAATGAACCTCTCTGGCGTCCCTCACCTTGGCAACATTTCCTCTCCCCAAACAGCGTCCCATGACCCACTTCTTCTCCCCAACATCGTCCCATGACCTACTTCTCCCCAACAGCGTCCCATGACCCACTTCTTCTCTATAACAGCGTCCCATGACCCACTTCTTCTCCCCAACATCGTCCCATGACCCACTTCTTCTCCCCAACAGCGTCCCATGACCCACTTCTTCTCCCCAACAGCGTCCCATGACCCACTTCTTCTCCATAACGACTTCCCATGACCAACAACTCCCTGGCAGTGGCAGCGACATAAGACCCAGTTTAAAAATCATCATCAAAATACTTATTATTATTATTATTATTATTATTATTATTATTATTATTATTATATTATTATTATTATTATTATTATTATTATTATAAGGATCATCCCAAAGACAAATTTGGAACTCCAGACTTCGATCTTCATGGAGCCCGAGGAGGTTTTTTAAGCGGATTACAAAGGGCGTTTGGGAGCTCCGTAAGGAAAATGTTTGACTCAGTCGGACTTGAAGAACAAGCCAAAAAGCCGCCAATTTCCTTCTTGCAGCCTCTGGTGAGTTTTTGAATATACCATTAAAGTGATACAAAGAGCCCAGATTATGATTTAATGTTCAGGCCTATGTGTTGTCGATGCTTTAAAGTTTAACAGTATAGCTTAGGGCAATAGAAATGATAGAAGAAAAGCCCTCGCTATGTATAGCCCATGAAAGTAGTATCAACTTAACCATATGTCACAAATCACCACCTGTAACGACTTTATGTTCATAAGATGAATGAAAATGTATACTCGCGGATTTTCATGAGAACTGTCCATGAAGTCTGTATTGTCACTGTTGTTTTATTACTGGGGGTTAAACATGTTCAAGAAAAAGTCTGGATGACGTCACTGGACGACCAATCCAGTGCATTGCATATATAACTGGAGGATAAGCGCTTGTAGCTGCCTAATTTGCTACTGTGTAGCTGTTTAATAACCGTTGTTCAGCATTTATATCATGATGTAACTATGTCGGTAGTTTATTACATGACAGTCTGTCCGTTAATAATATCTGCATGAACTTTATTAGGGGTGAGAACAATGGTATATCTAAAGTGCTATAACGTCGTCATGATATTAGCACGCAATGAGATTAAGACTGGGTGCCCATACCTAGATCAATCTAACAGAATCGATCCAACTCAAAGGGATTCTCGCTAAATTGCTTTCGGCTTAAGCGGCTTAGATGTCTGACACGCCTACTGAAGCTGCTAAACGATAATTAATGACACCTAGCAGCTAGCTTCAGTAGGCGTGACAGACACCTAAGCCCCTTAAGTTGATTGCAATCTAGCGAGAATCCCCTTGGAGATAGATCGATGCTCAGTGAGTACGACAGGGTCTGGGAATGGTCCCTTATATAAGTAGAGGAATAGATTGCTTAAAAGGCCAGATGCACTAAAGGTAAGGTTGTGATTGATTGAATTGGCCTCTTAGAAAAGATCTTCGGAATCATCTCTTCTCCTTGGCACATCAGAAATAGTGCTGTGACATTTTCAGTAGCTATAAAGCCCTTGATATTTCTCTAGGTGTAGATTGGGGGCTGAAACAACGTCCCCTGTTTAAAGGTCAGGATATTTAATAGAGGCTTTTCCACGGTCACGTGACTTCCNAAAATTTAAAAATATTTTTCATATGATGAAAGTTGTTGTGTTATCCGGATATTTTACGTTTGACGGTGGTTAAGTAAGTTAAGTAATGTTTAGATTGCAAACAGTGTATGGTACGTTCCTTACAAATCTCATAATCATGTTTATGAAATGACAATGGTGTGCAGAAGACCAGCGTTTTTATCGTTAACTGCCCAAGAATTTGTAGACAGCGTCCTGAATCCTGTCGTTCTCTGAGCACTCATTAGAACTGTTCTGTCTAATTTGAAACAAAAAAAAAAAAAAAAAAAAAAAGACCACCCAAACCCAATATATATACATGTTAAAGTGTCAAAAGATAAAATTGAATGAATTCAAAGTTGTGTTCACTTTTAAAAAATATATATATGTGTGTGTGTATAAAACAAAGTCCCCAACAGACTCAATTTAAATTTAATTCTCATTTTTACCATGTCTTTACATTCTGTAAAGGGCCTAAATTGTAACGTATGTTCCGGTTAACGTAGGTTCCAGGTCGCTTATTTTTAATTCATATATTGCGTTCTGATATATTTTGTGGCTATTCAGCCATGGTAAATAATACATGACTTAAGGATGTTTTTATAAATATTTTAACTGTAACTTGAGGGGCTTTACGTCATGGCTAATACTATGTTACGTATGTTCCCCAGAGAATTTTTTTCTGTTACTTACTGAAAATTTATATTGTGATTACATGACAGTTTGACATTCCTCATACATTATTTGGATGACGAATGGAAAATAGTTAATTGAATGCTTATTTTATGTCAGAAAGGTGTATTTCTCCCTTTTTTAATATTCTGTGACAAGCAAACTAACATTTAAGTGCTCTCTACAGTAGATTTTCACAAGTTTTGAAACGTTGTAGGAGTTAAATCAAAGAACATTACCACTGATGATTGAATTTTAAAAGTGAGTAAAACGTTTCTACAGCTGGACATTTTGCATTTGCGTCAGTAACGTATGTTCCTTTTTGGAGTTAGACGCTCGATGTATTATTTTTTATTATTCATGGTTTTAGGAGAGTGAAACTTTGATACAAACTTCTTCTTAGTTCGCAATTCTTCATAATTTGCAATCTGTGCACTACATATTTTAAGAGCAACTCTGTGAACTTATTTGTACCTCTATATTGGGTTTGGGTGAGAAAGCCTTCGTGAAGTACGCGCCAATTTCAGGAAACTCAAGAAATTACTTATCAGAATAATAAAATGGACCTCTAATCAATTAAGCTGTATCTTGGTTTCATTCAACCGCCTGCATCTAATAATTTCCTTAGTATACAATATATAGAAGAAGGTAGAAAGGAAACGGGAGAGGAAACTGGGGAGACATTAATCGGGCACATATACAACACATTGTATAGATATCCACATACAGAATAAGTGCGTATCCCAATCAATGCCAAAATTAAGAGAAATATTGGAACTGTTCAGATAGCTGAGAAAATATTAAGTGTAGTCTTCAAGAGCCAATGAACCTCTCTGGCGTCCCTCACTTTGGCAGCATTTCCTTTCCCCAAACAGCGTCCCATGACCCACTTCTTCTCCCCAACAGCGTCCCATGACCTACTTCTTCTCCCCAACAGCGTCCCATGACCTACTTCTTCTCCCCAACAGCGTCCCATGACCTACTTCTTCTCCCCAACAGCGTCCCATGACCTACTTCTTCTCCCCAACAGCGTCCCATGACCCACTTCTTCTCCCTTACAACGTCCCATGACCTACAACTCCCTGGCAGTGGCAGCGCCATAAGGCCCAGTTTAAAAGTCATAATCAAAATACTTATTATTATTATTATTATTATTATTATTATTATTATTATTATTAATATAAGGATCATCCCAAAGACAAGTTTGGAACTCCAGACTTCGATCTTCAAGGAGCCCGAGGAGGTTTTTTAAGCGGATTACACAGAGCGTTTGGGAGCTCCGTAAGGAAAATGTTTGATTCAGTCGGACTTGAAGAGCAAGCCAAAAATCCGCCAATTTCCTTCTTGCAGCCTTTGGTGAGTTTTTGAATGTACCATTAAATTGATACATCGAGCCAAGATTATGACTTAATGTTTAGTTTACATCAATCAGTTAATGTTTAACAATATAGCTTAGGACAATAGAAATGATAAAAGAAAAGTCCTCGCTATCTATAGCTTGTAAAAGTGGTATCGACTTTCCCATCTGTCAGAAACTACCACCAATAACAACTTGATGTCAATAAGATGAATGAAAATGTAAACTGGCGGATTTTAATGAGAATTGTTCATGAAGTCGGTATTGTCACTGTTAAGTATTATTACTATGGGTTAAGCACGTTGAAGAAAAAGTCTGGATGACGTCACTGGACGACCAATTCAGTGCATTGTATATTTAACTGGATGATGAATTATTTTAGCTGCCTAATTTGCTACCGTGGAGCTGTTTATTAAGTTCGATCTCTGACACCGTTGTTCAGCATTTATATCATGATATAACTATATCGGTAGTTTATTACATGACAGTCTGTCCGTTAATAATGTCTGCATAAACTTTATTAGGGGTGAGAACAATGGTAGTTCTAAAGTGCTATAACGCCGTCATGATATTAGCACGCAATGAGATTAAGACTGGGTGCCCATACCTAGATCAATCTAACAGAATCGATCCAACTCAAAGGGATTCTCGCTAAATTGCTTTCAGCTTAAGCGGCTTAGATGTCTGACACGCCTACTGAAGCTGCTAAACGATAATTAATGACACCTAGCAGCTAGCTTCAGTAGGCGTGACAGACACCTAAGCCCCTTAAGTTGATTGCAATCTAGCGAGAATCCCCTTGGAGATAGATCGATGCACAGTGAGTACGACAGGGTCTGGGAATGGTCCCTTATATAAGTAGAGGAATAGATTACTTAAAAGACCAGATGCACTAAAGGTAAGGTTGTGATTGATTGAATTGGCCTCTTAAAAAAGATCTTCGGAATTATCTCTTCTCCTTGGCACATCAGAAATAGTGCTGTGACATTTTCAGTAGCTATAAAGCCCTTGATATTTCTCTAGGTGTAGATTGGGGGCTGAAACAACGTCCCCTGTTTAAAGGTCAGGATATTTAATTCACAAATTCCCGTAATTTGTGTTTGAGGACGCCATCATTACCATTCTCTCTATCAGATTAATACTGATGAAGTGTCGATGTGGAAGTTAACTCCCACACAACACCGACCTTTAATAGCACTTAAAGGTACTTCACAAAGGGTAACAAACAAACAGGCGTATTGATTGACAGTTTGCTGTGATTAAGCAGAGTAGCGGGTGTATGGAAGAGGCGCTACTCCCTGTAGAACATAATGCTTCTTCCGGTAGAACTTTTCAAATAGGAAACACTGTGATGTTAGTAAAGTGCAAACCCATTAACTACCAGTCTTGTATCTGAAGAGTTGAACTCTGGTGGTTTGCTATGATACGCATACCCGATCAGGGTTGAGCATCTCTATGAGAGCTGTTCTCCAGCGGGCATGCTGTGAACGCTTTCTTATTTTTCTAAATCAGTGGGTAAACATGAACATTTGAAAGCATATTAAAACACGGTGGACACTGTAACGAAGTTCATATTACAGATTAAATAAATCTATAGTGTTGATTTCATTGCATCATGTCTCTTACTTGTTCTCTACTATTGTCGGTACCTTTTAACTACTGATACAAAACGTTTATTTATGTTCGCATTTAGTGCATTCAGAACAGCGAGACTAACAGATCCGCAGATCAAATATGGCCGACCCACTTGAACGCTTGTTGCGTAATCCCTGCAGGATATCTATTCAGTGTCTTATCGGGAATTAATCGGCAAGCTTTTAGTGGGTCGCCATATTTGCGCTCATTCTGAACAAATGATCCGCGGACAAACTGATCCGCCGACTAAAAATGGCCAACCCTACTTAAAAGCAAGCCGCCTAACCCCTTAAAGGTAACCCCGCCTCCACACGCGCCTTTGAACAGATTAAATCTCGGCTCAGCGGTTTAGTTGCCAGGCCCCTGCAGCGACGGCGCTTGGAGGCGGGGAGACCATCAGGGGTTATATGGCTTGCTTTTCAGAAGGGTCGGCCATTTTTAGTCCGTGGATCTGTCAGGCCGCATTCAGAACCAGTTGATCCGCAGACTAACTAAGCCACGGATCAAATATGGTGCGCACTTGACTATGGATTGCGCGCCAGCCCAGCAGGAACAGACCTATTAAATCTCGGCACGCTTTCAAGTGGGTCGCGCCGTATTTATTGCGCGGACAAGTTAGTTCGCGGATCAACTGGTTCTAAATCATCTTTTATCCGCAGATCAACTTGCTGTGAATGCGCTCTGTTATTCCCCAGGCACGTGTCACGGTCAGCGTAGACGGTAGCCAGGTGTTTGGTAGATCCTCGGTGTGGAAGACCGCCCTGGCTGCCTCCCCTATGATGTCCGCCTATGACGCCCTCCTCCAGGCAAAGATCCTGTACGACTTCACCCACCCCGAGAACACCACTACCAACCCGTTCCGTGTCATCCTAGAACCGTCCATGAAGAGACAATGCTACATCGTTAAACAAGTCGGGGACGTGTCGACCACGCCGCTGTTCCAATGGTCACTTACGGTTATCAGTAGGTCAAAAGAGGTAATAGGACAAATGATCAGTTTGGGGTGGGAGGTGGACTAAATTTAGACAACACCAACATTGAAATGTTTCATCTACAGATTCTATGACCAATCCTTACCGTAACAACATTTTATTTCTTACTTAACGGTTGATATGACCCTATCGTCCGTTCTTGACTAGAGATAACTGAAAAGCACATGCTTCCTTTGTATTCTTACTTCGGATAAAACTTAAATTTGAAATTAGATTTAAATTATTTACTCCATTATTCAAAACGGTTGTGATACATGTTCGGCACTAAAACAAGTGCGTATAAACTCTTTCTCCAGAACAGGAGTGATTCAAACAAATCCTCTTAAATTTTCCTTTAATTTATGGTTTCAAATTTATAAAATTTAACACAGATATAGTAACTTTGAAGCCAAAGCATGATGCGTTTTTATTTCTGCATTTTCACATATTTTCTGTTATTTTTTTCTGTTATTTTTTTTTCTTTCCAGGTCCTCATTTCTGGGCCCTGTGTCCCGTCGAAGAAGCGGGTTGTTGTGCTGCCTGGGTTTAGCATACGGCTCGACTATGCTCCTATTCCAAGATTCTTTTTCTGAACTTTATCAGCTATATTCTTGATATTGCGAAAGCGACTCCGCAAAAATATCATATTGTTAGTCAGGAAGTCGCACTTCAGTAATTCAAATATTTAAGTCAAATATACAGTTAGTTTTTAAGGCCTTTTGGGTCGCCGCCAGATATTTGAAATTCAGGTGATCAGGACGCTATGCCTCTGGTCCAAATTTACCTCAGGTGACGTACCAATCTTTCCTTCGCTACCCAAGATCAAAGTGACCAGCCTCTCGGCAAACACGGAGCGTTAACATAACGTTACCATAACGTTATTTGGTTATGTAAACATTATGGAAACGTTAAAATAACGTTATGTGCTGGGTGGCCTGCCTGTCAAGCCACCGTTACCACAGCTTTCGATAATAGTCTGGGAACGGTCTGGGACGAGGCTTAGAGAGGAGCTTGGAGCACCCTGTTCATCACACGCCACCCTCGAAGATGTCCGAAATAATTAAGCCATGTTGGTTAGATACTACATGTAGCTGAGAGNGCACTTGACTATGGATTGCGCGCCAGCCCAGCAGGAACAGACCTATTAAATCTCGGCACGCTTTCAAGTGGGTCGCGCCGTATTTATTGCGCGGACAAGTTAGTTCGCGGATCAACTGGTTCTAAATCATCTTTTATCCGCAGATCAACTTGCTGTGAATGCGCTCTGTTATTCCCCAGGCACGTGTCACGGTCAGCGTAGACGGTAGCCAGGTGTTTGGTAGATCCTCGGTGTGGAAGACCGCCCTGGCTGCCTCCCCTATGATGTCCGCCTATGACGCCCTCCTCCAGGCAAAGATCCTGTACGACTTCACCCACCCCGAGAACACCACTACCAACCCGTTCCGTGTCATCCTAGAACCGTCCATGAAGAGACAATGCTACATCGTTAAACAAGTCGGGGACGTGTCGACCACGCCGCTGTTCCAATGGTCACTTACGGTTATCAGTAGGTCAAAAGAGGTAATAGGACAAATGATCAGTTTGGGGTGGGAGGTGGACTAAATTTAGACAACACCAACATTGAAATGTTTCATCTACAGATTCTATGACCAATCCTTACCGTAACAACATTTTATTTCTTACTTAACGGTTGATATGACCCTATCGTCCGTTCTTGACTAGAGATAACTGAAAAGCACATGCTTCCTTTGTATTCTTACTTCGGATAAAACTTAAATTTGAAATTAGATTTAAATTATTTACTCCATTATTCAAAACGGTTGTGATACATGTTCGGCACTAAAACAAGTGCGTATAAACTCTTTCTCCAGAACAGGAGTGATTCAAACAAATCCTCTTAAATTTTCCTTTAATTTATGGTTTCAAATTTATAAAATTTAACACAGATATAGTAACTTTGAAGCCAAAGCATGATGCGTTTTTATTTCTGCATTTTCACATATTTTCTGTTATTTTTTTCTGTTATTTTTTTTTCTTTCCAGGTCCTCATTTCTGGGCCCTGTGTCCCGTCGAAGAAGCGGGTTGTTGTGCTGCCTGGGTTTAGCATACGGCTCGACTATGCTCCTATTCCAAGATTCTTTTTCTGAACTTTATCAGCTATATTCTTGATATTGCGAAAGCGACTCCGCAAAAATATCATATTGTTAGTCAGGAAGTCGCACTTCAGTAATTCAAATATTTAAGTCAAATATACAGTTAGTTTTTAAGGCCTTTTGGGTCGCCGCCAGATATTTGAAATTCAGGTGATCAGGACGCTATGCCTCTGGTCCAAATTTACCTCAGGTGACGTACCAATCTTTCCTTCGCTACCCAAGATCAAAGTGACCAGCCTCTCGGCAAACACGGAGCGTTAACATAACGTTACCATAACGTTATTTGGTTATGTAAACATTATGGAAACGTTAAAATAACGTTATGTGCTGGGTGGCCTGCCTGTCAAGCCACCGTTACCACAGCTTTCGATAATAGTCTGGGAACGGTCTGGGACGAGGCTTAGAGAGGAGCTTGGAGCACCCTGTTCATCACACGCCACCCTCGAAGATGTCCGAAATAATTAAGCCATGTTGGTTAGATACTACATGTAGCTGAGAGCACTTAGGCTTCGTTCACATGCAATGTCTATTTTCTATTTTCTATTTTCGGTATGTCTTATGATCACGGTCTGTGCACTGAATATCCCGCGGCGTAATTACTGGCAGCGCGAGCCAGTTACTATAAGTTACTATAAGTAACTGGCTCGCGCTGCCAGTAATTACGCGGCGGGATATTCAGTGCACAGACCGTGATCATAAGACATACCGAAAATAGAAAATAGAAAATAGAAAATAGACATTGCATGTGAACGAAGCCTTAATCAAATAAATAAATAAAGGAAGGAAGAAGCATGGACGAGCGTGCTTTTCTTGAAATTCCGTATATGTGTAGGGGAGACCGGGGCTAGTTGGACCCCGGGGTAAGTTAGTCCCCCATCAAGTCTCTTCAATAAAGTTACTTTAAGATGCTAAATTATTTCATTTGGACTCACTGCCGACGATTTCTTAGCACTATTGGATACGGTTACTTTACAAAATGATGTGATCAACTCTTTTACCCCATAGTTACTTTGTCATAAATTGATGGGGGGGCCAACGTACCCCGGGGTACAACTAGCCCCGGTCTCCTCTACATTGTCCTTGTGTTACCGCACACAGGGCGGGTGGTGGCTTATTTAAGAATATTTGGGCAATCGACTAAAAAAAAAAAAAAAAAAAACAGAAATCGCACGGCGCGTTCAAGCGCTCGCCTAGTGGCACGCCTTTTATTATTTGAATGTATATTAACAAGCTGAACAATAAAATGAATTTTTTTGAACCCAACCTCTTTTTTAAGGCAAATTCACAAAGACTTGTAAACCCAGACACCAAACGAAAGATTTATAAAATGTTTTGTAAATCTTTTCAGTTTTGTTACGTGGTGCAGTCGCCCGGATTACTGGGGCACAGACAACTTCTTGCAATCCAAACACTTTGGACATTGCGCGAGAAATAAACACTTCATATAAGATAAAAACAAATTTATTTCTGCACATAAGTGAAAACAACGGGACAATTGCAAAAGACATAACACTAAACATGTGTTTGTGTGTAATAAATTTATACAGACTGTCTCTAGGAGTATTCTGCAGAAACTCTATTGTGTTTATTTAATTACACAATTACTACGTGTGTGAAGTGTGGTAAAAGTCAAGTCTCCAATTTTTATAATTATCCCCGCACTTTTGGGACAAAAGTCGGGGATCATTTAATCCCGCCCGTCCGAGCGTCCGTGCGTCTGTGTGTTAGTAATTTCCGCTATCTCCTCCTAGACTATTGCTGGTAGGAAGTTGAAACTTTGGGAATTGGAAGACCCATCTTCAGAGATGTGCATGGGCACATTGGAATTTTAGTACAACAGGGTGTCGGGCTGTTCCTGGGGGGGTAGTTGATTCAAAATTCTTATGACATTGTAATTTCTGCTATTTCCTCCTACATCGTTAGAGATAGGAAATTGAAACTATGGGAATTGGAGGATCCATGATCAGGGATGTGCATGGGCATTTTGAATTTTAGTGCCACAGGGGGTTGGGCTGTCCCGGGGGGTGGTTGATTCTAAATTCTTATAACATTGTAATTCCCACTATCTCCTCTTAGACCATTAAAGCTAGGAAACTGAAACATTAGGAATTGGTACACCCATGATCAGGGATGTGCATGGGCTCTTTTGAATTTTAGTGCCACAAGGGGTTGGGCTGTCCCCGGGGGGTGGTTGATCCTAAATTCCTTTCACATTGTATATATATATTTTGTTTCTGTTTGCGCCCCTGACGAGGCCTCCGGGCCGAAACGCGTGTCGGGCTTTTTAAATTCTAAATTAAATGGAGAGAAAAGACTAATTTGTTCCTTGTCTATCTATCTATCTATCTATCTATCTATATCTATATATATATATATATATATATATATATATATATATATATATATATATAGACATTACGTATATGAATTTCTCTTCTTGAGTAATTGTATTGATTTCAATTTGTAACATTTGCAAAGTCATATAACACTGTGTACATGCATTTCTCTATAAAATAGTCGAACATCAGTTTTTACATGTACCACAACTTCTATCTGGTCCATGCAATAAAAACGTATTCTGGCACGAAGCTGGTGTGAGAGGAATGGTAGTCCTCGGACTGGAAGTCTGGACTCCCATAATGATTTAAACAGGTTAGAGTTAGTGGGAATATCGGGGTTTTAGTATATGGGACGAATGTCAGCTATACAAAGTAATGGGGAACGGACTACGGTTCCTAGCGGGATATCATTCCTGTCACACTGGTTTTATTCTCATACTTACATTCCAGTCTGTAGACGTGATGGTTGTACTCCACATCTAAACTTTATACAGCACTGAGTTCATACCTTCCTAGCCATACCAAGGCATGCATTACCCAAAGCTGTTTCTAAGTACTTGAGACATTTTCTACTATCAATGCGAGGTTGGTGGTAAAATAAAACTCGACGAGTTACACACGTGATTAAGACAAGAGAGATAAAATAAAACAAGTTAAATCTTTTTAAAAATAACAAAGTTGCGTAATCTGGCTTTGCCAACATTAGACAGGAGGCAGTTACCCCCCTCCCCCTTTCTGTCCATATCAAAGAAGATAATGACTCCTATGGCCTAATCCATATAGCTTTTCCTCTGGCGTTCTCCTCGTCTGTCCGTAGAGCTGCCCGAACAGTGAAAGATTGTATCTTGCACGCCACCATGGACAACACTTGAATAATGCCTACAGCGACAAAAACACCACATGTCCACGTGAACACCTCTGAGCCGCCTGTCTTCTTAGTCACCACTGCCGCGATTAACCACGTGACGTTTATTGCCATGACAACCGGTAACAGGATGTTACGTAATTTACCCAAGTCTTTGCCAATCTCGTCCCCACTCAATCCAAACTCGGTTGCGGTCCCGATAACTGTGTTGCGTAATGTTTCCCAGAATTCCGTTTCGTTATCGGACAATTGTTTTAAATAATGTACATGACAAGAGCACGTGACCTCGAGTTCTTCTTTCATGTCAACTTTTTCTTCATTTTTGGTGTCCCAGTCCATCTTTTCTGACTCAGGGCGGTTTAATGGACAGATGGTGGGGACATCTCTCGGCCGGTTCTAAAACGAAATAAAGTTACGTAGGATAAATTAACACTCAAATTGCACGTGTTCCATTTAATGGTAGGCCTATAACAGGAAAAATATCGCAAAAGTCAGTAAATATATGAATATAATATCAAGCCTTTGACCATAGCTTTCACAAAGATATATACCTCGTTCAAGTGAAATGCTCTCATTCCAAAAAGCGTCAAGTCAATGTTCTAAATCAATATTTTATCATCTGTACTCAAATAGCCCTGTCGTGTACAAGCCAGTAGTTAAATGGACGGTTGGTTTTAGTTTTAACACCAAAATGCCGGTCTCTTTCAATTACGTAACAACACCATTATTATTATTATTATTATTATTATTATTATTATTATTATTATTATATTATTATTATTATTATCATTATTATTATTATTATTGTTGTTGTTGTTGTTGTTGCAGTTGTTATCGTTATAATTATTAATTAGTAAAACAAATTAGTGTAATAATAATAATAATGATGATTATTAAAATAAAAAACATTATTATTATTATTATTATTATTATTATTATTACTGGACCTCTCACCTGTTCTCTCGTACCCCAGCTTTGGTCGGCCATGTTGCAATACATGTAAATCGGCAGCAGTATCTGCAATGCCGGAAGAAGACTAAAATGAGGAATGGCTCGCAGTATGACGGACCAATGGCCCGGGTGCAACAATACCGAAAAGAGGAACGGACTCAGAAAGATAAGGATGTTGAACCAATGTACTGGTATCTGTCCTGTTTGCGGTGCTTTGTTGTGATTGCTCATAATTTGGTCATCTTGTCGCCATGTTTTGTTGATGTTTTGTCCAGTGTTGTTGTCATTCTGTCCACTTTGATAATCAGCTAAAATAAAATATAAACATCCCTTTAGCAGTTTAATGTTGACAAGGAAGAGAAAATTCCATAATGACATTAAGCACTAAAATTTAAGATTATGCAAATGATATGTACAAATTTTCCAAAGATAATTATTTTCAGTCCTTTATGACAAAGTTTTCACTGTCAGTTCATTAAATAGTTAACATGCATCTGATACATGGGGAATTACATAACATTGACTTTTATGTAATTTCGCGCTTTTGAAATTAGAAGCATGTGGACATGAACGTGCAGCGCGTGCAGCTGCTCGTGAATATATTTAAAGTGATTGCTTGGCCAAGAGTGCACAAAATATGCTCACTTGCAAAACTCCCGCCATGAATATCGAAGGCCATTTCCACGGCGAGACACACAAACATGAGCGAGATGAAGACTACAAGGAATGTGGTGGCCCGAATCTGCACAGAGCACCTGTGTCTTGTCAACAAACACAGCACAGCATATCCAGTACACATCGTCATCACACCTATCACACCAACTGTCACGTCTATCCCCTGAGCATTTAGACCAAGAGCCATTTGGAACATGAAAAACGCTGGAGAAATGATTCGCATCAGTAGCAGTGTGAGTGAATAGGCAAAAAAGAAGACATTGAAGTTGGAGTTGGCATCCGCCAGCGTCAGGTATCTTGTAATAGACAACACAGTGTTACTTAATATGGAGAGGTCCCAGCGCTTTCTTTGAGCGAAGAACTCGTCGTTCGACTCCGGACAGAAGGTTTTGTTGGTGGAGGTTTCATTGTAGCCCACTTCCCAGCCTTTGCTCATCATTAGAAGAGACATCCAGCGGTCTTCTCCTGAAAACAAGAAAAATCAATCATAAAATTAAAGACCAATTATGCCTCTCATAATTTTTGTTATAATACAGAATAAATAAATATCCGGGAGCACTCATCAGTATAAATAACCATAACCAAAGCTGTTTTGGGGATCGTGTTATCCGAACTTGTTTTCGAGCTGTATAATTACATTTGTTCTGTTTCTACTACAATCCGACTGTTCCCTCCATTAATTTTGTTCACCTTTTTAATTAAAAATTTAAAAAAATATCCGTTTCTGACAAAAAGCAAAACTAATGAATCATTCACAAACCCATGTCCTTCAATAAGCTTTCATAGCCGGAAGTGACGTGTGAGCTGTATTCATCGATGACGTCATGGAGTGCTGCCGCCCTGTAGAGTGACAGACAGCCAGGAGCGCAGAGTACAGAACCCAGTGTATACTCCGTCGACTTTCCCCACCAGTGAGCTACAAAATTAAAGTACACGTACTGATTTACAAAGCCTTATATCCACTATGTGTAACCCAAAACTTGTGCAAGGCAGTAAGACTGGGTTCCCATGCCTAGTAGTAGTAGTTTATTATCATCACTGTATGCGTATGATTACATAATAAATATCTAGCGAGCAGAACATTACATACAGGGATAAATGATCAATAAAGGCATTACAAGTATAATATGTAGCGCAATACACTACCATGAAAAAAACTTATAGTGCGGTACACCGTTTTTAAAAGCTACTNGAGTCAGCTCTGAAGCTCAGGGTGGTAAACATGAACATTTGAAAGCATATTAAAACACGGTGGATACTGTAACGAAGTTCATATTACAGATAAAACAAATCTATAGTATTTATTTCATTGTATCATGTCTCTTACTTGTTCTCTACTATTGTCGGTACCTTTTAACTACTGATACAAAACGTTTATTTATGTTCGCATTTAGTGCATTCAGAACAGCGAGACTAACAGATCCGCAGATCAAATATGGCCGACCCACTTGAACGCTTGTTGCGTAATCCCTGCAGGATATCTATTCAGTGTCTTATCGGGAATTAATCGGCAAGCTTTTAGTGGGTCGCCATATTTGCGCTCATTCTGAACAAATGATCCGCGGACAAACTAATCCGCCGACTAAATATGGCCAACCCTACTTAAAAGCAAGCCGCCTAACCCCTTAAAGGTCACCCCGCCTCCACACGCGCCTTTGAACAGATTAAATCTCGGCTCAGCGGTTTAGTTGCCAGGCCCCTGCAGCGACGGCGCTTGGAGGCGGGGAGACCATCAGGGGTTATATGGCTTGCTTTTCAGAAGGGTCGGCCATTTTTAGTCCGTGGATCTGTCAGGCCGCATTCAGAACCAGTTGATCCGCAGACTAACTAGGCCACGGATCAAATATGGTGCGCACTTGACTATGGATTGCGCGCCAGCCCAGCAGGGACAGACCTATTAAATCTCGGCACGCTTTCAAGTGGGTCGCGCCATATTTATTGCGCGGACAAGTTAGTTCGCGGATCAACTGGTTCTAAATCATCTTTTATCCGCAGATCAACTTGCTGTGAATGCGCTCTGTTATTCCCCAGGCACGTGTCACTGTCAGCGTAGACGGTAGCCAGGTGTTTGGTAGATCCTCGGTGTGGAAGACCGCCCTGGCTGCCTCCCCTATGATGTCAGCCTATGACGCCCTCCTCCAGGCGAAGATCCTGTACGACTTCACCCACCCCGAGAACACCACTACCAACCCGTTCCGTGTCATCCTAGAACCGTCCATGAAGAGACAATGCTACATCGTTAAACAAGTAGGGGACGTGTCGACCACGCCGCTGCTCCAATGGTCACTTACGGTTATCAGTAGGTCAAAAGAGGTAATAGGACAAATGATCAGTTTGGGGTGGGAGGTGGACTAAATTTAGACAACACATACGATGAAATGTTGCATCTACATATTCTATGACCAATCCTTACCGTAACAACATTTAATTTCTTACTTAACGGTTGATATGACCCTATCGTCCGTTCTTGACTAGAGATAACTGAAAAGCACATGCTTCCCTTGTATTCTTACTTCGGATAAAACTTAAATTTGAAATTAGATTTAAATTATTTACTCTATTATTCAAAACGGTTGTGATACATGTTCGGCACTAAAACAAGTGCGTATAAACTCTTTCTCCAGAACAGGAGTGATTCAAACAAATCTTCTTAAATTTTCCTTTAATTTATGGTTTCAAATTAATAAAATTTAACACAGATATAGTAACTTTGAAGCCGAAGCATGATGCGTTTTTATTTCTGCATTTTCACATATTTTCTGTTATTTTTTTCTGTTATTTTTTTTTCTTTCCAGGTTCTCATTTCTGGGCCCTGTGTCCCCTCGAAGAAGCGGGTTGTTGTGCTGCCTGGGTTCAGCATCCGGCTCGACTATACTCCAATTCCAAGATTCTTTTTCTGAACGTTATCTGAAATATTCTAGAAATTGCGAAAGCGACTCCGCAAAATTAACGTATTGTTAGTCATGAAGTCCCACTTCAGTAATTCAGCTATTTTAGTCGAATATACAATTAGTTTTTAAGACCTTTTTTTGGGTCGCAGCCAGATATTTGAAATCCAGGTGCTCAGGACGCTATGCCTCTGGTCCAAATTTACCTCAGGTGACGTAATAGTCTGTGAACGATAATAGTCTGTGAACGGTCTGGGACGAGGCTTAGAGAGGAGCTTGTAGCACCCTGTTCATCACACGCCACCCTCGAAGATGTCCGAAATAATTAAGCCATGTTGGTTAGATACTGGCGGCCAACTACATTTAGCTGAGAGCACTTAATCAAATAAATAAATAAAGGAAGGAAGAAGCATTGACCAGCGTGCTTTTCTTGAAATTCCGTACATGTGTAGGGGAGACCGGGGCTAGTTGGACCCCGGGGTAAGTTGGTCCCCCATCAAGTCTCTTCAATAAAGTTACTTTAAGATGCTAAATTATTTCATTTGGACTCACTGCCGACGCTTTCTTCGCACTATTGGATACGGTCACTTTACAAAATGATGTGATCAACTATCTTACCCCATAGTTACTTTGTCATAAATTGATGGGGGGCCAACGTACCCCGGGGTACAACTAGCCCCGGTCTCCCCTACATTGTCCTTGTGTTACCGCACACAGGGCGGGTGGTGGCTTATTTAAGAATATTTGGGCAATCGACTAAAGAAAAAAAAGAAGAAAAACGGAAATCGCACGGCGCGTTCAAGCGCTCGCCTAGCGGCACGCCTTTTATTATTTGAATGTATATTAACAAGCTGAACAATAAAATGAATTTTTCTGAACCCAACCTCTTTTTTTAGGCAAATTCACAAAGACTTGAAAACCAAGACACCAAACGAAAGATTTATGAAATGTTTTGTAAATATTTTCAGTTTTGTTACGTGGTGCAGTCGCCCGGATTACTGGGGCACAGACAACGTCTTGCAATCCAAACACTTTGGACATTACGCGAGAAATAAATACTTCATATAAGATAAAAACAAATTTATTTCTGCACATAAGTGAAAGCAACGGGACAATTGCAAAAGACATAACACTAAACATGTGTTTGTGTGTAATAAATTTATACGTTAGCCTGTCTCTAGGAGTATTCTGTAGAAACTCTATTGTGTCTTATTTAATTACACAATTACTACGTGTGTGTAGTGTGGTAAAAGTAAAGTCTCCAATTTCTATAATTATCCCCGCACTTTTGGGACAAAAGTCGGGGATCATTTTATCCCGCCCGTCCGTGCGTCCGTGCGTCTGTGCGTCCGTGCGTCCGTGTGTTAGTAATTTCCGCTATCTCCTCCTAGACTATTGCTGGTAGGAAGTTGAAACTTTGGGAATTGGAAGACCCATCTTCAGAGATGTGCATGGGCACATTGGAATTTTAGTACAACAGGGTGTTGGGCTGTTCCTGGGGGGGTGGTTGATTCAAAATTCTTATGACATTGTAATTTCTGCTATTTCCTCCTACATCGTTAGAGATAGGAAATTGAAACTATGGGAATTGGAGGATCCATGATCAGGGATGTGCATGGGCATTTTGAATTTTAGTGCCACAGGGGGTTGGGCTGTCCCGGGGGGTGGTTGATTCTAAATTCTTATAACATTGTAATTCCCACTATCTCCTCTTAGACCATTAAAGCTAGGAAACTGAAACATTAGGAATTGGTAGACCCATGATCAGGGATATGCATGGGCTCTTTTGAATTTTAGTGCCACAAGGGGTTGGGCTGTCCCCGGGGGGTGGTTGATCCTAAATTCTTTTCACATTGTATATATATATTTTGTTTCTGTTTGCGCCCCTGACGAGGCCTCCGGGCCGAAACGCGTGTCGGGCTTTTTAAATTCTAAATTAAATGGAGAGAAAAGACTAATTTGTTCCTTGTCTTTCTATCTTTCTATCTATCTATCTATCTATCTATCTATCTATATAGACATTACGTATATGAATTTCTCTTCTTGAGTGTATTGATTTCAATTTGTAACATTTGCAAAGTCATATAACACTGTGTACATGCATTTCTGTATAAAATAGTCGAACATCAGTTTTTACATGTACCACAACTTCTATCTGGTCCCTGCAATAAAAACGTATTCTGGCACGAAGCTGGTGTGAGAGGAATGGTAGTCCTCGGACTGGAAGTCCGGACTCTCATAATGATTTAAACAGGTAAGAGTTAGTCGGAATATCGGGATTTTAGTATATGGGACGAATGTCAGCTATACAAAGTAATGGGGACCGGACTACGGTTCCTATCGGGATATCATTCCTGTCACACTGGTTTTATTCTCATACTAACATTCCAGTCTGTAGACGTGATGGTTGTACTCCACATCTAAACTTTATACAGCACTGAGTTCATACCTTCCTAGCCATACCAAGGCATGCATTACCTAAAGTTGTTTCTAAGTACTTGAGACATTTTCTACTATCAATGCGAGATTGGTGGTAAAATAAAACTCGACGAGTTACACACGTGATTAAGACAAGAGAGATAAAATAAAACAAGTTGAATCTTTTTAAAAATAACAAAGTTGCGTAATCTGGCTTTGCCAACATTAGACAGGAGGCAGTTACGCCCCCCCCCCACCTCCCCCCCCCCTTTCTGTCCATATCAAAGAAGATAATGACTCCTATGGCCTAATCCATATAGCTTTTCCTCTGGCGTTCTCCTCGTCTGTCCGTAGAGCTGCCCGAACAGTAAAAGATTGTATCTTGCACGCCACCATGGACATCACTTGAATAATGCCCACAGTGACAAAAACACCACATGTCCACGTGAACACCTCTGAGCCGCCTGTCTTCTTAGTCACCACTGCCGCTATTAACCACGTGATGTTAATTGCCATGACAACCGGTAACAGGATGTTACGTAATTTACCCAAGTCTTTGCCAATCTCGTCCCCACTCAATCCGAACTCGGTTGAGGTCCCAATAACTGTGTTGCGTAATGTTTCCCAGAATTCCGTTTCGTTATCGGACAACTGTTTTAAATATTGTACATGACAAGAGCACGTGACCTCGAGTTCTTCTTTCATGTCAACTTTTTCTTCATTTTTGGTGTCCCAGTCGATCTTTTCTGACTCGGGGCGGTTTAATGGACAGATGGTGGGGACATCTCGCGGCCGGTTCTAAAACGAAATAAAGATACATGACTAATACTGAAACTGCATGCGTTCCACTAATGGTATTACGGGAAAAATCGCGAAAGTCAAGAGAATATATATAAAATATCAAGGCTTTGACCACAGCTATCACATCAAATATTATTCGTTGAATTGAAATGCTCTCATTCCAAAAAGCGCCAAGTTAATCAATATTTCATCATCAAATAGCCGTGCAGTGTACAAACCAGTGGTTAAACGGACGATTGGTTTTAGTTTTAACACTAAAAATGATGGTCTATTTCAATTACGTAACAATACCATTATTATTATCACTGTTATTATAACACGCTGTAATAACACAGCATAGCAAGCTCATTATTATTATTATTATTATTATTATTATTATTATGATGATGATGATGATGATGATGATGATGAACCTCCCACCTGTTCTCTCGTACCCCAACTTTGGTCGGCCATGTTGCAATACATGTAAATCGGCAGCAGTATCTGCAAGGCCGGAAGAAGACTAAAATGAGGAATGGCTCGCAGTATGACGGACCAATGGCCCGGGTGCAACAATACCGAAAACAGGAACGGACTCAGAAAGATAAGGATGTTGATCCAATGCACTGGCATCTGTCCTATTTGCGGTGTTTTGTTGTGATTTCTCATAATTTGGTCATCTTGTGGCCACGTTTTGTTGATGTTTTGCCCAGTGCTGTTGTCATTCTGCCCACTTTGATAATCAGCTAAAATACAACATAAACATACCTTTAGCAGTTTAATGTTGACAAGGAAGAGAAAAATCCATAATGACATTAAGCACTAAAATTTAAGATTATGCAAATGATACGAACAAATTTTCCAAAGATAATTATTTTCAGTCCTTTTTGACAAAGTTTACACTGTCAGATCATTAAATACTTAACATGCATCTGATACATGGGGAGTTACATAACATTGACTTTTATGTAATTTCGCGCTTTTGAAATTAGAAGCATGTGGACATGAACGTGCAGCGAGTGCAGCTGCTCGTGAATATATTTAAAGTGATTGCTTGGCCAAGAGTGCACAAAAATATGCTCACTTGCAAAACTCCCGCCATGAATATCGAAGGCCATTTCCACGGCGAGACACACAAACATGAGCGAGATGAAGACTACAAGGAATGTGGTGGCCCGAATCTGTACAGAGCACCTGTGTCTTGTCAACAAACACAGCACAGCATATCCAGTACACATCGTCATCACACCTATCACACCAACTGTCACGTCTATCCCCTGAGCATTTAGACCAAGAGCCATTTGGAACATGAAAAACGCTGGAGAAACGATTCGCATCAGTAGCAGTGTGAGTGAATAGGCAAAAAAGAAGACATTGAAGTTGGAGTTGGCATCCGCCAGCGTCAGGTATCTTGCAATAGACAACACAGTGTTACTTAAGATGGAGAGGTCCCAGCGCTTTCTTTGAGCGAAGAACTCGTCGTTCGACTCCGGACAGAAGGTTTTGTTGGTGGAGGTTTCATTGTAGCCCACTTCCCAGCCTTTGCTCATCATTAGAAGAGACATCCAGCGGTCTTCTCCTGAAAACAAGAAAAATAAATCATAAAATTAAAGGCCAAGTATGCCCCTCATAATTTTTTAATAATACAGAATAAATAAATATCCAGGAGCACTCATCAGTATAAATAACCATAACCAAAGTTGTATCCGAACTTGATTTCGAGCTGTATAATTCCATTTGTTCTGTTTCTACTACAATCCGACTGTTCTCTCCATTGCAGAAGCTTTGACCCGTAGCCGTGCTTTTAATGTCTGTTATTTTGGCAACGGATTTGGATTAAGTGTTTATGATGACTTAGCAGAAAAGTATTGAGCTTCCATGGAAAATTAATGTTTTGCTATACAAAGAACCAAGTCACTGTGTGCGACTTTAAACCAACTAAGTGGAATCAGTTTGCTGTAGTATTTATAAATGCTTCTCCTTATTTCCCCACAGTGCAATGACTTTGCCAACCTGGATATTGACAAATTTATAAGCAACACATCCCCCCACCTCCTTCCCCGCGTTCAGTTAGGGTAAAAAATAGGCGGGTCCTAGTTGATAGGTGGGGATATGCAGTAAAAGAAAATGAAATACGGTATACCAAAATATAACTAAATAACGAATGAAGTGATGAATGAATGCATGAATGAATGAAAAGACATTTTATTTAAAATGAAAACAAAATTAACATCATCACTTTTTTCTATAAGAAAATTAATTTTGTTCACTTTTTTAATTTAAATTTAAAAAAAAAAATACCCGTTTCTGACAAAAAGCAATACTAATGAATCATTCACAAACCCATGTCCTTCAATAAGCTTTCATATCCGGAAGTGACGTGTGAACTGTATTCATCGATGACGTCATGGAGTGCTGCCGCCCTGTAGAGTGACAGACAGCCAGGAGCGCAGAGTACAGAACCCAGTGTATACTCCGTCGACTTTCCCCACCAGTGAGCTACAAAATTAAAGTACACGTACTGATTTATAAAGCTTTATATCCACTATGAGTAACCCAAAGCTTGTGCAAGGAAGTAAGACTGGGTTCCCATGCCTAGATCATTCCATCTGGATCAATCTGTGTTCTGGGGAAACTTACTATATTGGTATCCACTTTGAAGCATGTTTGCAGTATCATTGCAGTAGTCTACTGCGCTGGAGTATCTACTTCGTTTTCATGCGGGATGTGCAAGTATGTAAAAGTAAACGTCCTGATTTTGTACAACCACTGTTATACTAATACTCCCTGTGCATAGGCAAAAAAACAGTCCCAAGTACTGCTTAAATTTGTAAAATGTTACCGTTCCAAATTCAATTCATTCATTCCACGTGAAATTGTTAAGCGCTGTCATGGGCGTCCGCAGGGGGGTCAGTCGGGTCACTTGACCCCTCCCCCCCTGGAATTTTGGCGGGCACGTTAATTGCTGGCACCCAGCCAATACTTATCTCCCCCCTCCAATGACTTTGACCCCCCCTCCCCTGGAAAATTTTCTGCGGACGCCCATGGGCGCTGTATATTTACTTTCATAATTATCCGCCTGGATAAGAAATTCATACACCTTCTTGGCAGTCTATGAAAATATTATTTTGCAAAGAAGCAGAATTAATTGTTCCAAAATGTGGGCTATTCCCCCTTATCAGTCAGGTGTCTCCCAAACAACCGTTAGACAACTTACAAGATAGAAAATAATACAATTTAAGTGTCATGATGGAGACATAAAATAAAATAATAATCGATTTGACCCTAAAATTAAAAAAACAACTTACTTGTTATTAGTTTTATCGGCGGTTTTACTCAGCAGTTTTACTTTTACTTACTTTACTTAAGGGAATTTAAGTGGTGTTTTCCAGGATATTCAAGACATTTATTTATTTATTTATTTATTTATTTATTTATTTATTTTGGTGTACTATATCGATACGCCTTGCATTGTCCTAATGATTAATTGTTCTTCTACTTTCGCAGAAAAATAAACAAAAATCACTTTTGTCATTATAATAATAATAATTATTATTATTATTATTATTATTATTATTATTTATTAACTTACCAAAGGCGTATTCAAACTGCTGGAACCACACCAGTGCACTGGCCGTGTGTCCTATAGGTTGAGTTAAGCCGCAGATAGCTCCTAGACGCCGGTTTAGGTGACACGACCACAGCAAGGCCCGGATGTCTTCAGCTGTAAACTCCATGTCAGCGTCCGTGACTAACACGTAGCCAGTCGGCTCTTTTACGTCCATCGTATCACCCTGGTTCTTCTGGTCACTACTGCCATTGACAGAAGCTCCAATAATTCTGTACCTAAGGACATAATTGAAGTACATGATTTGGCTCCATCGCTTTTTGTTTCGAATTTTCCTTGAATCTTTCAGGTGTACGAATAACATGCTGGAACTGCTTCTACTTCCGTCCAACCGCCACCTGACCTGTACGCCGTAAGGAGTAGGAGACACGCGGATATCGCTGCTATCAAGAGAAAAATACGTCTGAATCAACTGAATCAACTGAGACGCATACGGCCTTAAGTGACCGTCGCGTGTACCGTCGTCCATGACGAGGTGTGTTTCCACTTTGACGTCACTTAAAATATCATCAAGAAGGATGCATTTCAGACTGCATAGATACTTGCTGATTTCTTCCACAGTTTCCTGATACATTGTAGTGCACACATATAATGGCTCCGTGGAGTCTTCTGCACCTTGCATAAAACTGACATTCCCTTGTTCGAGACTCAAATTAAGAAATATGAACTGTTCTAGGAATAGAAAGTTGACAGATGGCGACCGGAAGATCTTCTCGATAGGAAGTAAAAACGTGGCGTTTGCTCTGTGGGTAAGTGACCGGTGTGAGCAAGTGATAAACCAGACAAGGACGCCGACAAAAATAATCACGATTTCTATTTTCTCGGTCAAATAGTACTTTGCCTTTTGCTGATGGTTGTTGACAATAAGGTAGCCAATGAAGAAGCACATCAGAATCACGTGCGACGCATTAAAAACCTGATGTTCCAAGCAGAGTTTAGCGCTTGTTGAGAATAATAGAAATGTTGAAGCTGCCACTAAAATCAAAACTGAAACAGTTGTAATGATTTCAACATCCACATAACTGAAATCTATATATCCTGTGCCAACAGTCACACGGCGATAAACCAGAAGAACACAAAGCTTTGTAAAACTCTCTAATAACACTGTCATCTTCTGGTGTTCCTCTTTTTCCTTAATCATTTCCGGAGTTCCACTTTGGGATTTAGACTGCCGTAGATTCCAAAGTAAAGCAACCACACACTTCCCGAATACAAACAGCATAAACTGATCCCAGGTCAAAGAGGCCACCGTTGCCATGACAACTGCCAGTGACACCGCTCCAAAGCAACGAAAGCCAAAATAAACCCAGGAGGACTCTGAAAAGGCAATATAACGGTCACGTATGCTATAAAACCACGATTTTGGTTTAGAGTTTAAGTCTCCCGAACGAATATCAGCTACGTTTCCATTTCTGTCCAAAAAATCAAATGCAGATTTCGAGTTGTATTCTGGATCTGGCTTTTTTGACTGGAAGCCAGGGATGGGACCCGGAAGAAGAAGAAGGATATGTGGCGCCAGGAAGAGGACAGATACTGGCAGGTTGGGTAAAACGTTGGCGACGAGCAGCAGCTGGGAGAGCATTTCAAACACGGCGTAAAGCACAATCTGGAAAATACGGGAAACATACTGCTTTTTTAAATAAATATAAAAAAAAGTTATAATAATAATAATAATTCAATCCAATTTTGAGTTCTAAATATTTTATGTTTTTTAAGCTTATGAATCATTCGAATACAGAAATGAAGACACGACAATTTCACTCGAGTCAGTAAGAATAATTATGAATAGTAGGCAAAGACGGGTTAATAGGCCGTTATTGCTGAAATTTCCGACAGTATTTCTGTTATAATTCAAATCCAGGGCGCATAAAGGTGACAATTTAGCTCAAAGAGCGCATTCAGAAGAGCGGACTAACAGGTCCGCGGATCAAATATGGCCGACCCACTTGAATACTTGTTGCGTAATCCCCACGGGGAATCTTTTCAGTGTCTTAGCGAGAATTAAGCTTTCAGTCGGTCACCGTATTTGATCCGAGGATCTGTTAGTCCACTGCGCTAAAAGTAGTCCCATAGTTTGGCCGATGGTAAGGAAACAGGCCCTACTTTACTGAAATATAAAAAAATCTACAAAGTCTATTTACACAAAACTCTTTCAAAAGCCACAATTACACAAAACTCTTTCAAAAGTCACATTTACACAAAACTCTTTGAAAAGCCACACATTATACCATTGTTATTTCCAGCCCACTGGGCGTGTTCAGAGCGTGTCTATCCAGTCGCCACATCCCAATGAGAAATGTGATGGCCTCTGTCACGAAAAACACACCTTCACATACTGCCGTTCTGGAAAACAGAGAAACAACACCTTATAATGATTCACATCCCCTGAAAAAAATTGTCTCATTTAAAGCTCGCTCAAGGTTCTCAATCTGTCCTAGAACATAATGTTTTTTCTGTTTTAATGAAAAATGTTCTTAATCATGTTCTAGTGCATTCTGAAGGCCTTTCCAAAAACAGTTAAATGAGACGAATCTTCGCAGGGGATGTATCATCATATGCATGTGACGTATATTAAACAAAACACATACATGTAACAAATGTACAATGATGAAAATAGCAAAATTCTGAAGACTGTGCATCATGGGTACAAAAATCTGGCGTCATAATTACAACCCCACAATTTCAATGCTTCTGTAACCAAGTCCAAGCTAAGTTGTATATCAAACTATGTTGAATACACTGTTTACCTTGATGAATCTGGTATCACATGGAAGAGATAGACCAATGCCATTTTGTGTGATATCAGCAACCCTGACGCTACCACTGCCAAAACACAGGTGAGGAGCTAACGGGAACAAGGAGAAGAGAAAACACATTATCAAATTATGATTATTGAAGCTAAAACGCAATCCTTTTTGGTTGTAATTTTTAGTAGACCACATACGAAGAATGCATTACCAAACAACCCCCTCAAGTCGGTGTTAAGGTTGCTGTTGTGATCAGTTTGATTTTTTTTTCATTCAAACACGTAAGTTATACTTTAAAACAGGACATTTTAATTTTTCATCATTAGATTTCCTTATAATGTCAAACTGAGCACAATAGGCTGCTGAGAAGTTATTCTTATTCATTGTTTACATCTCAAGCTAAACGAACTAGTGCTGAAGAAAATTGTAATTCAGAATACATATATTTATGTACATGTAAATATAAATATATATAGCCTATAGTGCGAATAATCCAACACAAACAATTTAATGGTTATATAAGGATGTAGCAATTTTTCTTCATTCAATAGATAAAATTATTGTTTACTACCAATATTTGAATGTCTGTTAAGAGAACCTGCATTAGGATCGATGATAGTTTTATTATGAATTTGTGCATTTAAATTGCATCTGGAATTGTGACACCACCCCAACCAGTACCTAACAAGCTAGAGCAATCAGTCATCCGACACACCTATAGGTGGCGCTAGTTGTTTGTTTTCGCAGACCGCTACAAAAACCGTGACCCACACGTATCAAATGTCTACGTACGTCATTTTACACTGCCTGCTGCCTCTAAACTAGGGTCCAGATTAAAAAGGTTGGACAGACATCATTACCCCTGTGAACCAAACATAGGCAGGGTTAACACCGGGCAGGAGTTTAACTTTTTGACAGCAGGGGTTGAATGTTACAAGCAGGACGGGCGGGTGTGGATGAGCGTGTGTATGGATCACGTGTGTGATTATCATATTTTCACGTGTATGTCAGCTGACCAGCCTCAATACGCTTGCTGACACGTGGTTGTCTGTTGGCACGTGATTCCAATGTCAAAATCGTCTTGAAACTATTTTGCTACTACTGGGGTACTTTACTACTACTACTACTACTATTATTATTATTATTATTATCATTATTATTATTATATTCAACTGATATATTTTAGCTCAACTTGTGTTTTGATTTAGTTTTATATTATAAGCTGATAATGTCACTTAATAACTCCACGTACAAAGAGGGGAGGGGCAGGTATTTCTATTTTTCACTTCTCTACTTTATTTGATGACACGTGGACCTCCAAGCACTGTTTTAGATAGCACGCCATGTGTTATCATTATGGAACTGAACTGACAGAAAACTTCAGGTGATTTCGCATATCTCCGTTAGATGGCGGTCTTGTCAGTGCTCAGAAAATCGCTGTTTATTGGAAACAAGCAGTTGAAACCTTAACAATGCTGTCATGCATTTCCCTGCTTTACTTCCAATGATAAGAAGAGTTTCGATTTTGTTCATATTTCATTGTAACAGTGAACGAAGGACTGTTTGTACTTAGCTTATTAATTTATTTCCATGACCAAACAATATTTCACATCATTTTAAACGCAACACACAATGATATAACATCCCAATATGGAACCTTCTTAATGATCTTAGTAGTGTGAAATGAAAACCTGCGTTTCATGACTTCATAAACGAAAGATTTGCAGCACATGATGAAAGTGCTTGTATCCGAAAACTAACACACATATACAATATAATGTTGTGTGCTTACCTGCATATACATCTTATTTTCTTACTTTTCAAAATCAAAAATTTTTAAACGCATTTTGACAGCAGAACATGCACTTCCAGTTATCCCCTATCAGCACACTGGTCAAGAGCCGCGTTTCTAATTGTTCTCACACGTGGCTTTTAGTTCTCAACTACTGCATCAAGAACTGACTTTAGCCAATAAGTTATATAACTTCTTGCTTGAGCTGACCCATGAATAAGATGAGCTCGGACCACCACGTGTGCAACGATATGACGACCAGGGCCCCGTATCTCGAAAGCATCGTGCATTGCGACCGAGCGCAAGCGTCTGGATTCCATAACTCGCCCATACTCGCCCCATATAATACACTCTATGTGATATCGCTATTGGCGATGCTTTCCAGTTAAGGCTCAGTCACAATGTCGGCGATCTGTCGGGGATTAGTTTTGGCCGGGGGTCGTCGAAGAAAATAAAGAATCCTTGAACAATCCTAGCAATAATCCTAATAAAAGTGGAGCAGTCACATTGTCTGATATTTTATCAAGGATTTTGACCCGGTTTTGTCGAAAAATCGTGGGATTAGCCTCCGATCGCCTCCGATTGCATCGGAGGCGATCGGAGACGATATCTGCGAGCGTCTTTTCTCGTAATTTTTTCCCCCTGGGTATATGTGGTTATATATGGGTATATATTCGGATGACGCCTCCGATTAATCGGAGGGCATCGTAGGTCATCGGAGATTGTGTCTGGGATGCCCAAAATGGGTGAAAAAGCTTGCGAGCAATCTTAAAATTTTAAGTTCAAAGTCGGGGACCGCGACGGGTGTGGTGATGTCTAAAAAATCTGCGACAACCCGTAGGCGTCCGGAGAGCGCCTCCGACGGCTGCAAAATCATGAGATCTGTCTCAAGATTTTGTTCAAATTTCCCGGGTTTTACCCATCCCCGACACATCGCAACTGATTTGTGACTGAGCCTTTACGGGGCCCAGGTGAGACACACATGTGGTAGTCCTAGGAACGGAAGTCCGGGGTCCCATATAAGCAGTACAGGTTAGGGTTAGCTGGAGTATTGAGGTTAGTATATGAGACGAATGTCACCTGTACAAAGTAATGGGAAGCGGACTTCCATTCCTCTTACACCGGCATTAAAGTATTGAAGGACAATTTTTTAAACTTATTTTTTTTAAGCTGACGGAGGAAGCAAGACGATAAATAACCATGTATACATACCACGGGGCTGATATCAAAACAAAAGGATTGCAGGGACCGATACAATGAATGAGACGGAGTGACTGCCACGTGCGAAAGATGGGCAGGAAATCAACCAACTACTCACAGAAAACCAGACCCATGTTCCTGTCAATACACACACAACCACAAACCATTCACGCAAATGTAAATGATTGGACGGTGTCCGCAATTAGGCAGTAAACCCGGGGAAAATCAATTCTTTGATATCACCCCATGCGCGGTGATATCAGTGTGTTCTATTCAAAGTTAGGGAGTTCGGGTGGCGAACACGCACGATTCCCCTTTGCATGTATAACAAATAATGCACTGTTACCCCCTCGCCCGCTCGGCATGCTATCGTGATATCAGGCTCGTGGACAGTGCATTATTTACTACATAACAGTAAAGACTAATGCATTCAATAACCACATAGGGGAGATTGGGGGTAATATACGTATTTATAGATTTCGTATCACCCAACCTCCCCCCTTCTTTTCCCTTTTTGTTCCCTGTGTAAGGTATAGAAGTAAATATATCAAATTGTATTTTCTTATATTTTCTGATTAAAAAAAAACATCTTGTCCATTTAACAAACATATATTACTGTGTCGGAGAGAATCTGCGAGTTAGACACTTAACTGTGAGATCATGCCCCCTCCTCTGCTTAATGTACCCTGTATGTAATATTTCAAGTCCCTGTGACAATGTTTAGAGAAAGACAATCCCCAGCAGGCACAGTGGCGTTGGATCACGTTGAAAACATGGTTGATACGTTGAATTGCCGTTGATCTACCTAAATGCAACGTAAAATCAACGTTGATCCAGCCACGTCAACACACCGTCATAATGTGACGTTGACTCAACGTTGTATTTTGGCTAAATGCATTGAAAAAATCAGACAAAATAGGCACTTGGATGTTTTTACAGTGTACGTTATAATTGTGTACCTGTGTTTTGTACCAAAAATAAAAACATTTCAGGTCATTTTAATGTCTTTTCATGCAAGAATGTTGTCTAACAACTGGGGTTGATACAATGTTGTTATCTGACGTTGATCCAACTTTCAAATCCAACGTTTATCCAACTTCTTATCAACGTTATGGTTCAACGTTGTTTCAACGTTAAAACAACATAATTTGCCCGCTAGGTTGAGTTTGGCAACATTTGACTGACTACTGAAAATGAGCGAACATATCGTTTCTTCATATTTTGTTTAATTCATAGCTATTTATTTGCCCTATGTGCCTGCAATTAACAGATGAAAAGAATACTTCTTTGGCCAGTGAACAGGTAAGCAATAGGGGCTATTACATCATTATTCCTTACACTGGCCTTAAATACTAGGAACTGTAGATTAACATTAAACATGCATTTATTGTTACCTGTACCTTCTGAATCTCCAATGACCAACCCAAGTATATAATTACCACTGCATCACCACTGCATATTTTGTTTAATTCATAGCTATTTATTTGCCCTATGTGCCTGCAATTAACAGATGAAAAGAATACTTGTTTGGCCAGTGAACAGGTAAGCAATAGGCGTTATTACATCATTATTCGTTACACTGGCCTTAAATACAAGGAACTGTAAATTAACTTTAACATGCATTTATTGTTACCTGTACCTTCTGAATCTCCAATGACCAACCCAAGTATATAATTACCACTGCATCACCTCTTTCAGTGTCAGTACACGTAACAGGTGTACAGGGTGATTGACGAGTGAACGGGTAAGCAACAAATATTGTGAATGGTTATTTTACCTTACACATCAATTTATTGTGAAAGTACTTGCAATTCTGTTTTCCAAGGGCGGCTATAGGCCAACTTGTAGGCCATAACAAATCCTCTCCGTTTCCTGCATAGAATAGGATATAACACCAAACCTTAAGTGTGACAGTGTGTCAAAAATCCACAGCCCTCTATATTTTAAATATCATATAAATACCAATCCGACGCCAAAGGGGGGGGGGGGGAGGGGAGGGTCGGCGTCGCACCTGCGTACTCCCTTTAAATAATCTTGGATTCGCCCCTGGAGACCCCAATCCTAGAATAACCATTCCTGCCACACCACTCTGTGCTTGACACTCAGTGACATGGAGGGGTTGACGACAACTTTCTGCTTCAAAGACGCCGCTACACATGTATGCGTCCCACATGTGTCAATTTAAAGAGCAAAAGAAAAATGAGACACGCGACATTCGTAAATTAAAGCAACTTGAACACAGGCTTACTGATTATAAATGTCGCTCTCAATAGCTGCCGGAAGAATTGTCGCAATATGTCGTAATAGAATGCATATATTAGATATTTAATTGAAGAAGTTATTTATGAGGACGTCAAGAAATAAGCTAATTATGGACTACTGGGTACCTGAGAGACAAAGCGGAATGGGATGGCATAGATCACGCGAAAGAGACAGGAAAGACATATATGTGATTAGTACAGAGAGACCCCTGCCTGTATAAGTAGGCCTAGAAGAGAGACGGTAAGTAGAAGTTTGTAAATCACCTGACCATCGTCACTGACACAATACATGTACATGTACTACTGGTATTTATTGTATGCGTGCTCTTCACAGATCACAGTCACCCAGGCCACCGTTTTTTTAGAACTTTATTTACATGTAGTAGGATTCTGTTGAACTTTTCAAATATGCGGTCACTACATCACCGGCTATTAATAATAATAAAAGGCTTCTTATATGGCGCCTTACATGCTACCTCAAGGCGGCTTACAATAATGGATAATATAACTAAATCATTAAAATGACTACAATATTTAAATCTAAAACACTCATTGAAAACCATTTAAAATTAACACTACTAAAAACTCAATATTATTAAAATATAAAATCTAAGAGATATAGACAGATTAAAAAATGTGGGTCTTTAAAAGGGATTTAAAATTGTCAAAGTCTTCTGTTTTCTAATAAAATTTNTGATCCAACTTTCAAATCCAACGTTTATCCAACTTCTTATCAACGTTATGGTTCAACGTTGTTTCAACGTTAAAACAACATAATTTGCCCGCTAGGTTGAGTTTGGCAACATTTGACTGACTACTGAAAATGAGCGAACATATCGTTTCTTCATATTTTGTTTAATTCATAGCTATTTATTTGCCCTATGTGCCTGCAATTAACAGATGAAAAGAATACTTCTTTGGCCAGTGAACAGGTAAGCAATAGGGGCTATTACATCATTATTCCTTACACTGGCCTTAAATACTAGGAACTGTAGATTAACATTAAACATGCATTTATTGTTACCTGTACCTTCTGAATCTCCAATGACCAACCCAAGTATATAATTACCACTGCATCACCACTGCATATTTTGTTTAATTCATAGCTATTTATTTGCCCTATGTGCCTGCAATTAACAGATGAAAAGAATACTTCTTTGGCCAGTGAACAGGTAAGCAATAGGGGTCATTACATCATTATTCGTTACACTGGCCTTAAATACAAGGAACTGTAAATTAACTTTAACATGCATTTATTGTTACCTGTACCTTCTGAATCTCCAGTGACCAACCCAGGTATACAATTACCACTGCATCACCTCTTTCAGTGTCAGTACACTTAACAGGGGTACAGGGTGATTGACGAGTGAACGGGTAAGCAACAAATATTGTGAATGGTTATTTTACCCTAAACATCAATTTATTGTGAAAGTACTTGCAATTCTGTTTTCCAAGGGCGGCTAGCTAGGCCAACTTGTAGGCCATAACAAATCCTCTCCGTTTCCTGCATAGAATAGGATATAACACCAAACCTTAAGTGTGACAGTGTGTCAAAAATCCTCAGCCCTCTATATTTTAAATATCATATAAATACCAATCCGACGCCAAAGGGGGGGGGGGGGGAGGGAGGGTCGGCGTCGCACCTGCGCACTCCCTTTAAATAATCTTGGATTCGCCCCTGGAGACCCCAATCCTAGAATTACCATTCCTGCCACACCGCTCTGTGCTTGACACTCAGTGACATGGAGGGGTTGACGACAACTTTCTGCTTCAAAGACGCCGCTACACATATATGCGTCCCACTCGTGTCAATTTAAAGAGCAAAAGAAAAATGAGACACGCGACATGCGTAAATTAAAGCAACTTGAACACAGGCTTACTAATTATAAATGTCGCTCTCAATAGCTGCCGGAAGAATTGTCGCAATATGTCGTAATAGAATGCATATATTAGATATTTAATTGAAGAAGTTATTTATGAGGACGTCAAGAAATAAGCTAATTATGAACTACTGGGTACTTGAGAGACAAAGCGGAATGGGATGGCATAGATCACGCGAAAGAGACAGGAAAGACATATATGTGATTAGTACAGAGAGACCCCTGCCTGTATAAGTAGGCCTAGAAGAGAGACGGTGAGTAGAAGTTTGTAAATCACCTGACCATCGTCACTGACACAATACATGTACATGTATTACTGGTATTTATTGTATGCGTGCTCTTCACAGATCACAGTCACCCAGGCCACCGTTTTTTTAGAACTTTATTTACATGTAGTAGGATTCTGTTGAACTTTTCAAATATGCGGTCACTACATCACCGGCTATTAATAATAATAAAAGGCTTCTTATATGGCGCCTTACATGCTACCTCAAGGCGGCTTACAATAATGGATAATATAACTAAATCATTAAAATGACTACAATATTTAAATCTAAAACACTCATTGAAAACCATTTAAAATTAACACTACTAAAAACTCAATATTATTAAAATATAAAATCTAAGAGATATAGACAGATTAAAAAATGTGGGTCTTTAAAAGGGATTTAAAATTGTCAAAGTCTTCTGCTTTTCTAATAAAATTTGGTAAGGCATTCCACACTTTGGGGGAGTAGATTATAAAAGCACGATCTCTATAACTTTTAAGGCACCCCTTCTCTAAAACAGAATGTTCTAAAATAATACCATTCTCAGTATTAAAACTCGTGGACCGCCCCCCCCCAAAAAAAAAAAAAAAAAACCTACTCACTGAAAATAATCAGGATTAAAATTAAGAGACGACAGTCATTCTTCACCATCAGTTGCAACTCACCATCATCTTGCGACTCCTAGCAAACAGCACTGATCACTAACATCAACTTCAAGCCGCCCTAGTATCACTATTTTATCAGTCCAATCGCTGTGTCTTCAGCGGTAATATATATATATATGGAGCTATTACCGGATGACCATTGTCCACGGAAGACTGATTTCTCACTGGACGTCAGACGTCACCAAACTCTCAGCCAATCAGCGCCCAGTAATTTCACTCTCCAACCCACACAGGTGCTTTAGCTTTTGGTGACGACCCTCGGGACTTATAAACGGATAAACCGAGCCAAAAATTTGTGAGCAATTGCCAAATAAACGACTCCAGCAAAGAATAAACTATCCCAACGTAAAATTACTTGACGCAAGCACACCGGCTGGAGTCGTGAATTTGTGCATTTTTTGCTCTCAAATCCAAGGCTCGTGTTAGAAAACAGCAATTATCGTTTATAAGCTCTGGGGTCCGTAACTCGAAAGCATCGCAAATTGCGATAGCGATGTCACCTTTCATTTTGAGTCTATTATATGGGGCGAGTAACGGAATACAGGCGCTTGCGCTCGGTCACAATTCGCGATGCTTTCGAGAGACTGAACCCTGATCTTGCTACATGTCGATAAAAAAGTCAGTTCACACAATGACTTTTCTGAATTTCCCACGCATGAACTAAGAGATTCTTTATTATTTATTGTTTTTTTAAAGCTGTTTAAGGCAGTTACACGTACTCTAGTGTAAATATTTGATTATAATATTCACTACTGCATAACCCGCATTACTGAAGGAAAGTAGCGTAGTTATTTTATAAAGTTATGGAAACAAGTTTGGTGATGAAAGCAGCTGAAGGTAGTGTGTAACAAATACTAGTATTGGCCAGATAGGGTGCCCTCTACAAGGGCTACAGATTGATTTTTTTTTTACAAAGTAATCACAGATAGATAGACAGTCATTTGTGTTTCTGGCTTTTTTACATTTTCCCTATAATATCTGCCACTCTGGTGGGGGGTAACCTATTTACCAGTAGAGCAGTAAGACCCTATTCCCAGAGATTAGATCGATCCAACTAGATCGACCTAACTCCCTTGGGGGTTCACGCTAAATAGCTGTCAGCCGAAAAATATACAGCTTGTAGTAGGGGGGACGGACATTTAAGCCGAATTATCTGACAGTAATCTAGTGACTCCCCACGGGGATAGATCGATCTAAAATCTATGGGAATGCACCCTAAGACTGGGTTCCCATACCTTGATAGATCTAACAGGATTGATCCATCTCCGAGGAGTTTCTCACAATTTTTCTTTCCGCTTAAGCGGCTTAGATGTCTGGCACGCCTACTGAAGCTGCTAAACGATAATTAATTACCCCCTAGCAGCTTCAGTAGGCTTGCCAGACATCTAAACGGCTTAAGGTATAGCAATTTAGCGAGAATCCTCTTGGAGATAGATCGATCCAGAATTAGTAACATAGGGTCTAGGAATGGTCCCTAAAACGCAGCCCTTCACAGATTTCGTTCCCTCTCTGGCTAATTCATGGGACACCTCTCCCCTGCGGCCCTGTGATGAAATCGCAAGGATAATTAAAGGGTCGGTAAATGTTTGCATAACTACCTGTACTCAGGCACTGCCTGTTCTCTAGTCCCAGCCAAATTTCTCTGATTTCAGTCAAGGCAGTCAATAGATCTGACCTTAATTGCTTACTTTGTTGTACCCGAACCTACATGAAGGCAACCAACTTGAACGATCAATTACACAAAAAAAAAAAAAAAA